GAAATACCAGGAAAGCAGTGAAATTGATAGGATTATAACATTGCTCAACGCTTCTGTTGAAATCAAGCTTTTGTGACCTTGTTCAAAAATGCATGAATGAATAATTTATTTTGCATGTCCAAATTAGATGTAACCGTGACAAGTATTCTGCTGCTTTTCAGTCTTCTATCAACTTGTCAATTGAGACAGTGCTTAATTGCAAAGCTGAAAAAAAGACTTGCTACACTCAGGCTGTCACATAATGATGTTTCCAAACAAAATGGTTGGGTCACTGGGTGTGAATGCTATTGAACTGTTCCAGTTGCTGATCCTTTTGTCATCTGATGTACATATCCAAAATGAAAGGGAGTTTTCTCAATGAGTCTTGTCTTGGCCAGCAATCCCCCAGATAAAATTTGCTTTATCTGATCATTCGCTTCATAGATGCTTTTAGGACATTGATTGCATGAACTGTTTGAGTGACATTTTTCGTGTGTCATTGCACCAGCTTCAGTTTCTGAATCTGGAGTAAAATCTCTTTGCTTAGATTTTGGAGTTTTGGTAGGTGTCACTGCGGTACGTAGTTCTATTTGTTATGAAGTTTTTTTTTTAATTTAATTTTACTTCTGCCGCTACCTCTCAAATTTCTCCACATTGCTCATGCTTGGTACTGTTTCATGGGAAGTTCTCCAACCAGTTCTCTGCATGAGTGTTGGCAGTTTATCCTGGCATCTTCAGCATGCATTTTACAGAAGATGTCACTGGAAAACAACCAGTTAAAATTAGAAATTTACAAATTAGGCTAATTCTCTCACTCATCCCTGACCAAAGATGCGAAGGTCAATTGTAGCAGACCAACTGGTTTGTGTTATTCGCAGCTGGGATTGCTTTTCTCCCTATGGTTCATCGGAAACAGTACTGTAAAAGCAATAAACATGAGTTATTTTTCTATTGTGTACTGCTCTGTAATACAATGTGGTAGACATGTTTTATCTAATCACGGGCTGACTTGAGTTACAAACCTTGAGGCACTCATTCTTTCATTCAGATTTATCATGTAAGACCAGTACATAATACATCTATGTAAATGACATTGATTGGTTTAAATAAACACATTTCAAATTCATAATGACTATTAGGTGCAGCTGCTCCAGATCATTACACAATCAAAATGCAATGTCCTGGGTCAGGCTTTTACAAGGTTGCCCCATACAATTGTGACCCATGTTGATAAGCAGCTCATCGTGATCTAATGCTGAATATGGATTTCTTTGCAAGAAACAGTATATGGAATTTCTATGCATGTTGTAGTACATGTTGTGGTGTATTATTGGTGCATAAGTATTCATGCAGGATGGGTCAATCTTGTCTCACTAGCCCTATAAATTTACATTTCAACTTCAATAGAATGATCTAATTAGACTTTTGTAATTCTCACAGCTATGTTATTTTTTGTAATGACATCACAGTAATCTATGTAGATCTTTCATAGTTTATAATCAGTGTAACTATTCTATTAACGCCATAATCCTTGATAACCTGGCTCCTTATTGCATTGATAAGGACACAGCAGTGATGTACTCTTAGCTAATCCTTTCACATGATCTTCCCTTACTTCTACAATTTATTGGCTTTTAAAGCCCAAGTGACTGGGCACTCTCTTACCATTGCTTCTTCATTTCTCTTGCTACTCTCCCAATTCTTTCAACCTTGACAGTGCTAGCAACTTTTATCTGAGGGTAATACACGCTGTACTTCATTTCTCAAACACGGTGCATGTAAATAAATGCATCTGCAAACCCCTGTAGTAAAGGAGGAAGCCATTCCTTACAGTTAGCTGATCCTATCCCCCCTATGACCTCTCTGTTTCTTAACTCCTTATGTTGAAAATTCCTGAGCCACAACAAATTTAAACACCACCTTCATTCACTGAAAACTTGAGGTGAAAAATCTGTTAAATACATCTGTCATTTCCTGATCTAACAGTGAAAAATTGGGCCAAACAATCTCAAATGGATAACCATTTTCCATTGTGATTCATTAGGAAAAATGTTATTGTCTTCTGGTCCAAATAGCAGTGGGCAAACATCTTTTCAGGCAGGCATAAACAGGAGAAATAATACTTTGTGATCCTTTTATGACAATTTTACGTGAGAGCTTGCCTTCACTGCTTTCACTTCTTCATTTACAGTGAATAGAGTGAATTAACTAGTCCTTAATGGTGAAAGATTACATGCGAATTGTTAAAGCCCATCAAACAAATTCTCATGATGCAGATTATTCTGCAGTCACCATGTTGTTACAGTATCAACAGAACAGTGCTGTACATCAGATTAATTTAATATATTAAACTATATGAGCAGCCTGTAGATAAATGTTGAAACATATCAAAAACTTGTTGGGCCACAAATAACAATTTAGTTTTATAGCGTCCACGACAAATAGATAATGATGATCCGATTGGAATCAGTCACAGCTCTGCAGCCAATGTCTGGGTTCAAATATAAATATTTCATGTTTAATTTGCTATTTGAAGCATATAGACTAAAATAATCAGGAGAGTTAGCACAGCTGCCTTCTTAAGAGGCTGCTTGGAGGCTTGAGACCGCAAGTGATCAGTCACTGGAGACATGTGTTCTGAAATTACTTTCTTCTACAAGCAGTTAAATGAAGTATCCTCCCTCTGTTCAGTACTGCTCATAGGAGGTTAACAGAGGTGCTCTTGGCTGTGTGTTGTCACGGTAACATGTTTTATTGGCTTCCTATTGGCATCGGAGATTAGAATTTAGAGAAGGAAGTCGTCTGTGACGATATCACCCTTATTGCATAATCTCTGCTATGAATGAGTGCCGACATGAAGTTGATACTTTTCGCTGTGTCGGTACCAAAAATAATCAGTTCCTCAGCTGACCATTTTCTATATATCATGACAGACTGCAGTCTTTAAACCGGCTGCTCAGTTGCCTGACGTCTGTTTCAGCCACAAATGTTCCTAAATTGCTTCCTTTATAATTAAATCCAATAGTTTTCCTATTACAGATGTGTGAAGCTAACACACCAATAATTTTGATAGTGCTTCTCTTCTTTCTCAAACATTGATGCGATGTAACATATTCTTCATTTTTTTGCCACTATAATTGCATTTAAACTTCGGTCCTCATGTCCTTATATTCTTGGGTACAGTAAGTCTGATTTTGTTACTTTATTAACACTGAAACTCTGCAATGTGTAAAGTGCGTTCTTCAGCACAGTACAGGACAAAGCACTGGCAGAACCCGCTTTTATCTTTTTAGAGTGAAAAAATGTTGATGGAAGTGCATTCTTGTTCTCTAATGACCTTAAGTTTGGAGTGTTGCTTGCTCCTTCCTGTAGTTAATGGTAGTTGCTTCATGAGCAACGCATACATTTCCATTCTCTTTTCTTTACTTTCTTCCACTGTGGTAAGTCATTTGTTTTGAACCTAATGTAAGCGGAACATTTGCATAGAATCCAAAAAGTGTTACCTTTTTAGTTCCATTTCCTTGAATGCAGAAAATCATTGTGACAAAGCAGGACATGTTTATTTGACCTGTGACAGCTCTTTTGTCTTGTGAAGTTCCTGTATGAGGTTTTCCTCTTACAAATGAGGGTTGAAAGCAATTGCAACCAGTTCAGTAAGATATACGGTATACGGTATCTGAATCTGTGGTCACTCTGCTAAAACTGGGAGTTTTAGCAGAGTCTTCTCACTTGATTCTTATTGGCATTTGTCAGACAGTGAGAATTGCTTGTTTTGACATCTATGATCACATTGTCTCTCCTTGATGCTTTAGTGGGTAAGTACATCACAGCGTGGCTCTGGCTACAAACCAGGAAGCCTCCAGGTTCGGTCACTGATCTGCACTAAAAAAGCCTCAAAACCCTCCTCTTCGACCATACCATTGGTCACCCCCCCTTCGCCTCCCCTCCCTTCTCCCCCCCTGACCCCAGCTCAAGTCTGAAATGCTGTACACTGTCCAGCACCTTGGGACGTCCTCCCGACATGAAAGTCGCTATACAAATGTAACCTTGTTGTTGTTGCACTAAGTTATGTGTCTCTCGGTGATGACTATTGCAGGGGTGTTGGAATTGGCCTAATGCCCTAGACTAGGGAGAAAATAGATCACAGTTTATTGTACTGAGTAGAGTGGCCTCTACTGGAAAGTTCATGTACTTGGGAGTGCAACTAGGATTGAGTTGAATTCTGCTATCCCTCCCCCCTCAGGCCACCAAATATGCTGCTAACATTAAGGGCCAGGCGCATATATGAAAAATAGACAAACAGCTCAGGTACTCCTAGCCGGTTGCCTGCAATCTGCAGTTTATACCAAAGTATGAGTCAGGACCAGCTGGAAAGTATGAGAAGGAAGTATTGAGGATAAATGTAGCTTAATCATACTGCAATATTTACATTCCAAGAGCAGATGAGAGAAATAAATAGAAATAATTAATGAACTGTATCATAACCTACAGGAAACAGTCCAATACAGAGTGAAATTTAGCAACTTACATTCTTACACTTGTGAATCATCTGCCCTTCAGTTCATGGATTTGTGTGCCATAGCATCATAATTATAATAGTTTTACCATATCCAATCGCTCCTGACTCGGGTTTTCTATTTATAGAGCAAAGATTATTGGCCTAATCCTACTGAATATTTTCATGACCCTATGATCCCCTTTCCCTTTAATACTTAGAAAAACACTTTAGATTGAATTCCCCCCTCCCACCCTTCTGGGTATTTGATGAATAAATAAATTAAATACTCGTTGATGAAGTTCTGATTCATACAGTGCAGAAGATCTCAGTTCAATCTTTGGTTTGTGCTATTCCAGCTGATCTCAGATGGGATATTAAAGATGCTAGAGTTACACTGTGTTCCATATAGCGGAAAAAAACATGACACCACTGGAAGTGCATGTTTGCAGACGGAGTAAAGACAGATTTGGGCTTGGCTGTGAGGCTCCTACAAGTATAGTCTGTTGACATTGCTGCTCAGCCTCACAGTTCAAAGGGATTTGACTGCTGCTCAAACTGCTATCCAGTTTGAGTCATCAACATCAGCATCAAAAAAAATCAGGGGAAAACATAATAGTATGATTTAGAATTGCACAGCTAAATAGCAGGTAGCCTACCATATCCTGTGAAGTAAACATAGACTATTTATGGTAGCACTGGATTCATAGGCTTTAGCAACCTAGTATCATGGACTATTTATGGCAGCACACAATCCACTGCTTTCTGCATGACAGAACATTTAATAACTATTTACAACTGAATTGAAGTTCAGCTCCCGAGCACACTCTGCTATTATCATTGTGAGTCTGTGGAACTACGTTGGTGAATTACTGCACCCTGCCCTGTGGTAAGTTTAAACAAGTAGTTAAAATGTGCAATGGGTTTGAAAATCAATACATTGATTGATTTGGTATGAACTGGATGAAATTTAAGATTTACGTAAGAATAAATCCACTTGTGGTATAAGGACTGCATCACTTCCTCCTCCTGTTGTTGTTTTGTGGTATCGCATAGAACAGATTTGATTTCCTTTTATCTATTCACAGTTATTTCAGAAGAAACAAAGAACGTTTAGATTACTAATTTAACTAGATTAGATTATGAGATTAATTATTGCAGAATATAACTCTTGAAAATAGCCTATGGTCTTGTTAAAATATATTTTACACATTGTTGTTTTAAAGAGCATAAGCACATTTTATATCTCCATGGTCATGTCTGGATGATATTTACATGGGTAGTATTCGGATTACTGACATTGCAATACGGTTATTCAGTTTCTACTTGAGGTACTATCTGAATTTATTTTTCCTTGGCTAGAATCCTACTAATTTCTACATGTTAAATTGGTTGGAACTGTCTTAATTATCAGCTCATTCAATTTGCCATGACATTGGTGAATGTTTTTAATGGTGAAACAGTTGATCTGTAGCTTGGATTGAACATGTTACGCCTTATCTTGTAAAATGTTTTGTCTCAGTTAGGTTTATCTCTCATTTGCATATGTACACATGAGAGTGCCACTGCTGTTATAGTACATAAAGCCAGGTAGTGGAATCAAGAATTAGGAACTGCCTACTCAATCTAGATCTGGGGGCAAACTGGCTCTTCCAGATTAACATTGCTTCAATGAAAATTTCACTCAAGACAAGGTATAATATGGCTTCCTCCCATAAATTATAGGAGTGGTTGGCATCACTGTGGAAGCAGCTGGTGCTTACAAACCAATGAAATGGTGGAGTAGCTGTGATGCGCTGAATAGTTGACTCTTGTTCTTATGTTCCAAGTTGCATGTATGTAACCTAAGCCTAGATAGGAAATTGGAAAGTCTTATAGATCCCTGTACAGAACTTATGCTCCACGTATTTGCATGTGCTAGCCCACACGTTCCTACTGTGTACAATAATGGGTGTAGGGTAATCCCTGAACATTGGCCTCCCCTTGTTGTGGAAATGCACCTGAAGACAAGGACTATCCTCTTCCTGGGGATGTCAATGATTCACTATCTGGATTGACTTCTACCTTAGAAACTACTTCATCATTTCCCTTCAAACCCAGGTAAGTTAATTTCTCTTTCCCCATTTGTGATGTGGATTTGAGTCTGAAGGGGTTAGGATTTAAAATAACATCATTTTATTTCAAACAATGAAGGGAAGTAGGTCATGGAATATGGAAGTCACTGTCGGTTCAACTTATTCCAAGTAATTTCTTTCCCCTGTCTATGTCTTATCTATTCCCTAGCAGCCAACCTGATTAATAAATACTGATGAATTATCTGAAGCTTGTGCCTGTTATATAAAGCACATTTTCTTGTTCACGTTCCTCAAGCAGATCTTGTGGTGGAAATGGTTGATCTCTGAATTGCCGCACTTTAGCTTAGAATTAAAATATTGTCATAAGAGGATTTATCCAGTATTAATTGAACAGGGGTTGTTCTCTTGTGATACTGAGAAACACATGAGAGCTGTCTGATGAAGAGCTTATTTCTTGTGAATACTAAGCTTTACCAGAAGGAACTAATTTTTGTGTTGAGGCTTTCTTTCGAAGTATGACTACATTCTTTGGAAATGTAGATTGGATATTCATTCCATCTGCAACCATTGCTTAGCAGTGTGTAGTACGCAAAGGGTCTTGGTTAATACAGTATTGTGGTTTGCATTGTGGAACGTGACCTGCATTTTACTGGTTGTGAGGAGGTTAAAATAACGTACCTGGCCTAAAGTGACAATGCTGACAAGCACCTTTCTTTTCTCTTCCCAACAGAAATTGAAAGATATTCTGTATTCAATCTGGTGCAATGGAGTGACTGGCAATAAACGTAAATTGTTTTGTGGATGCCTACCTGCCTGCCTAGAAGCCTGACGCCAGAGAGTGAATTCAGCCTCTACCATTAGACCATCCAATATATCATGCCTTCCTTTCCTTCTGACAGAGGTAAGGGCTAAATAAAATCATTGAGTTAAAATATTCAGTTATAGAAATATTCATGACGACATTGCTGTCAGTGTGAGAGAGTACCTAGGGATGATGCTCTCCTACAACTTTCCCTTTTTATCTCCCATGAGACATTGATCTCAGCTGGGCCAACCTGGGAGTGAGGAAAGAGTGTGGGAAAGTAAGATCTTTTCCTGAAGGGATAAGTTGTATGTTAATTAGTGAAAGTTGATCTAAGTCTCCTAATATCTGGTGGTACAGAAACAGAGGCATAGTATTGGATGTAGCTCTGTTGTCGGTGTCCTGTCTGCTTTCTTGATCAGATTCTGTTGGGATTTTACTGAGGATTGCTCTCCCACCTACTCATTTTAAGATCTAGTGACAATGCTCCAGTCATATATTTCTGGTAGTTATGCAATTCCACTTCCTTTCTGGCCAGTGTGCTTTTCGTTTTGTATCATCTGAGCACAAATTTACTCATTTCAGTGCTTCCAAGCATCAAATGCTTTAATTCTCTCTCGCTCTCACTCTCCTTTTAGATGATCAGGGAACATCTAGTCCATCACTGAATACCGAATTGCCATTTCAAGGTACCAGACATGAAAAAAGAAATGCCACAATGAAGAAAAAGAACAAAGGAATGATAACAGCAAGTTTTATATGCACAAAATATGAAATCGGTAAGAGATAAATTTTGATTTTGTAACGTGTACAAATTTAGTGATTGCTAACCTTTTCAAACTTGTTAGTTTGCATGAATTTCAGGATTTGCTGTAAATGACTTTAGATTTAAAGTTGCACAAAGAAGTATGCATTTCTGCCAATAAATTGACAAATCAATTAAAAGAGTAAACAGAACAGAGATACCAGAACAAATCTCTGCAGGTTATGATGGGATTTTAACTGCAATGGTTTGAGCGCTCTCAAAGTCAATTGTCACTACCCCATAAAACATCCATATAAGATATGACGAGGAGTGCCAAGGGAGACTGATTGCGTGTGAGAACTACAGGATTAGTGATTAAGTTCTACAGTCGAGAAAGATCTTCGTTGAGGAGCGTGGGGGCTTTTTGAGACTTATAAAATATCAAATGGTTTAAACAAGGTAAATCTGCAATATTACTCCCAAATTAGTCCAGGGTCAAAAACAATAGTGAATGCTAGTTTAAAAATAAATATAACCAAGAATTTGTGTTAACTCAAAGAGTGATAAATGTTTGGAACAATCTGCCAGAAACTTAATAGAAACAAAAACATTAGGTAGGTCCCTTACGTATGGTACTACAATTAAAAGCTTTGGTGAGTCTTCTTTTTCTTGAGTTTTCTTATGTAGTTATGAATACTTCCGAAATCTCCTCATCTTCACCAAAACAAATGTGAAGACCAGCCTCTCAAACTTCAGACACTTCAGTTCCTGGAAACTGGTCTGTCCACAAGTTCCTTCAGGAGTTTGCTCAACACAACCTGCCCCTCACAGATCTCTGGAAACGTTCATCAAGTGGTCTCAAACCAGCACAAAGAGGCACTGTCATCATGGAGAAAAGTAGATGTCACTGAAAATATTCTTAGGGCCTCGCCTCAATGAATACCTCAAAGGAACACTCAGAGCAAATTAATTCACAAGTTATAATAATAATCCTTGCATTTGATATAGTGCCTTATCACGTCTTTGAGATGTCTCAAAGCGCTTCACAGAATATAGTGTGATGTGAATTGATGACTGTATATTTTGTGGGCGAAAACACCAGCCAATTGCGCACAGCAGTGTCCCACAAACAGTCGTGGATTGAAGTGACCAATTTATTATTATTAATATTGCTAGGAATGACCAACCTTGTCACAAGTGTCAAATACTGCAAACATTTTTGAGGTGATGTAGGCCTATACCTCATAGAACTCCTGTGGTTTACTAAACCTCACCCTTTTTCAATGTGTGGAAAAGTCACACGTTGAGATAAGCTAACTGCACAAACAAAATGGAAGAGAAATGGTTAAAGTTGGGAACTAAGGTGCAGGGTGAAAACAGATAGGAACAGATCATTGAGAACAAAGTCCTTGTGAACATACTGTACCTGTATGTTTTAGTGAATGTTTTAAGTTTGGTTAACTTTTGCCCTACCATTCTGTTTTAACGTGAATGATTAACTCACGTATACTTGAAAAATGTTCTATTTACGTCTCTGTGAACTCTGAAAATGGAGCGTGGTTAGAAAGTCATTGAAGTCAGTGCTAGAGTGTTAATGAGCTCCGTCACTTGCTGATCAGATCTTTCCAGTTACCATTGACAACTGCTACCTATTGGAATTCAAACCCTTTAATAGATGTGTAGTAAATCAATTAGACCGATCGATATCAACAACTTATCCTGAATATGAAAAGAATGTGACAGCTGGATACAGAAGTAATTTTCTGTTTGCATGCAGTGCTGACAATGTGCTTCACAGATAAGACATTTTCATTTCTGTATACAACATTTTTATGAAAGACATTCATTTCTCTCTTATTCTCTTTACTAGATGTATTTTTTTTCTATTGAATTTGTTTAATTCCTGGTTCTGATTTTAAAACATTTAAAAATCCACAACACAAGTGTGTCTCATCTCTTGTATCTTTTATGGAAATTGTTTGAAACTTTTTAATAGATCCTTTGGTTCCTTCACATCCTTGGGGAAATATCGTATTTTAATGACCCACATACTACAAATGTTTGTTCCCAATACCATTTGGAAAGATAGCAATGTTTGGAATATTAGAAAAGATAATTAATTCTAAACTACAAAAAAGTACATATTCTGCAAAACTTGCTTGGTTCCAGTTACACGAATAGAATAAAGTCCATTTACTTAAGAATTAGTTGCCAACTCCATTGGTTTTAAGTATTTGTAAATGTTCCCTGTAAATATTTCAGTAAACTGAAAGGGAATCTGATCAACTCTCATTCTACCTTAGACTGAACAGATGTCTCTTCCTGAAAAAGATGACAGCTAGTTAATGAAGGAGGCAGATGGGCAACACCATATTTAGCAATTAGCAAGAAACCTGTGTTTTTTTGGCTAAGTGAACATCAATGTAGAAGTTTTATACCCTATGGTGGCTAGCCCCCTGGAACCCTGCTGACAGTTCCAAGACTGGGAACATCAAGACATTAACACATTTGTGCTCAGCAAACCCCTTTCCCTACTGCTGGGAGTCAAGACAGCTGCTTCAATTTCTATATTTATTATAATTGCATTGGATCGATAGCAGGCAAAAAAAATCTGTCTTGAGATACAGAGTTAATGCTGAATTGGTAGCTCTTTTCAAAGAGCCGGCACAGACATGATGGGCCGAATGACTTCCTTGTGTTGTATAATTCTATGATTCTATTATTGAAGACCCCAATGTGATCCACTTTAAATGGCCACCACTGGTTTAAACCATTGCATATGGAGTATGTTCATGGTAAGATGGGCTCCGTTCTAAAATGACACAATTTAAAACAACGAGCAATTCATCAAATGGATAAGTAGTTCCTATCACCACTTTCTGCCAAAGGAGATGTTCTGAGACATCTATAGCTATCAGTAATCTGGGTACTTCAAGCATTCTGGGATTCTAGCCTGCATTAGGGGCGCTATATAAATAGTTGTTATGATATGAAAGTAAGTGGTAAGCCCTAATGACTGGTGTTTCGTCGAATCTTGCAGTGCGTTTGGCAGTAGACGAGTCAGGATTCACCAGAATTCGAGATGAAGACGACACAGCCAACCTCATTTGGAGTGATTCCGCAGTGCAACAAGAGAAGATAGCTGAGCTTAGGAACTACCAGGTGAGACTGAACGTCAATGAACATCTCTTCCAAACATTCTGCTAGATTTCATTTTCATTGTCAACTCCAAGTAATCCTTTTCTCACCAGCGCTGGTGCCTTTGCCTTTGTACAATCCTGGTTAGATAGGACAGTAAACGAGGTGTTGCATGCTGGCTGGCTGCATCCTGCAACCAAATGGCACTTTGCTGTCAAGCCCCTCGCTTTTGAGTTTTTTGAGTAGCCAGAAAATAAAAGTCACCCGAGGTCTGCGACACATTAGCAACTGGAACCAAGAGAATGGTGGGGAAGCATTTCTGCCCTATTGATGGTGACATGCTTTGAGAAATACAGAAAGTATCAATTATAGGTATAGTATTTCTTTATTCCTATATTTGTACCACGGGTGGGATAGTTATAACAGGATACATCTACTATTTCTGCACTGGATAAAGTATAACGTGCATCCCATGTACAGGAAATTCTTTACAGTGTCACATTTGCTGAGGTCACTTTCACACATTAAAAAGTAACTTTACAATTTCAGACTGGTTTGTAGGTCATGTACATGTGCTATAAATAGGCCTGATTTATACAGTGTAAAATAGCACATGATTCAGGACACAAAGAGAATGAATTGAGGCTCATCGGAGCACTTCTGGCCGTGATGGTCAAAGATGATTTATTGTTCCCTAGTTAGCAAATTCACTGGCTACAACAACAACAAAATTACTTTAGTATAGCGCCTTTCACGTCGGGAGGACGTCCCAACTAGTAGAGAATAAGTCACAAACAATGGTGACCAGTTGAATTCCAATTCCAACTCTATTCTTTTATGAAAAAATGTTTCCTTCCTGATGATCAAAGTGAATAAATGCACTACTTGATTAGCTCTACAGATGGGAACATTGAACCCCAGTACAGCAACCCCAGTCCAGCCAGTTCAGTGAGGTTCAGGTGGCAGTGGAACAATAACAACAAATTACATTTGTATAGCGCCTTTCACATCAGGAGGACGTCTCACCATTTCTCAGTAGAGGGAGAAAGAGTCAAAATGCCTTCAAAGAGGTTGGGAGAGAAGAATTGAATAAAAATATGAATTCAACTGTATAACTAGTTTTATTTACTCATTGAATATATATTTATGTATCTACTATCTACTATGTTATTGAATAAAACTGCACATATAACTATCTACCATAGTAATCCCATTACCTCTGTCAACTATTATATGGAATAGGGTTCTTTTGTCTGTTTTTATAGAGGATCAACCATTTTCCAGGAATGGGGGAGATCTGTCGCAAGGATTGTCTGGCAAGAAACATGGCCAAGTAAGTGATCTGTGTTGCAAGAGTAGTTTTGATACTGATGAAAATCATTAGAATATCTGGGATTTACTGGTCTACCATAGTATTATTGAGCCGTTTTGTCTGCTATTGGAAATGGTAAACCAATACCTCACACTGAATTTCTCAACATTTAGTTGGCAGTGAAATGTCTAAGACTCCAATGCTTTGGGTTGATAGCCTTAACTGACATTTTATTCAGATGTGCTGTGTGTCTCAATAATGTCCAGCAGTTAAAAAAAAATCCATAGGTTAGCCTGGAAGCTCAAGCGGTATAAATGATTGATTGGCTTCCAATCAGAAGTTAATGAGTTCAAGTCCTAGAGCTGTGTGTTCCTGTAACTCACTTGCTTCAGTTGGATGAGTTTTGTTGATTCTTGAGTTGGCTGTGGAAACAAGACATTCCATCTCAGGGGAGGTTGGAGGAGAAAATGTGCCACAGATCAGCTTACCCTACTGCTGGCAGAATAAAGAGTGGTGGGATTTTAGCTGTGGAGAAATAGCAAGCTGAGATGGTTCCATTCTGTTATTCTCAGCTGAATGTGACAGGACTGGGGAAAATAAATGACAAACATAATATATTATATTTAAACAATGCACATTTCAGAAACTGAAGTCATCGTAAAACTATTACCTTTATTGTTTTTCAGAATGATCAAATCCCAGGCTCAGGAATACAGCTTCACACCTAGAACGTGGATCTTCCCTGCAGAATACTCCCAGTTCCAGAATTGTATAAAGGAACTAAAAAAGAAACGAAGACAGAAGACATTTATAGTAAAACCATCTAACGGAGCAATGGGTCATGGGTATGTCAAATCTTTAATCTGAAGCTTGTGGGCACGGGATAGCAGGAAGACCCTACCATTTTCATTTTGTCCGAACAAGTCAAATAATTGGAAAGTGGAGTGTGATTTTGAACATGTCAGTTTTATTGGTGGTGGAGAATCCTTCTGACAAACCTGATGGGACACTGTTTGTTTGCACAGTTCACATTGGATCTACATTGGCATACCCAGCCATCTGCAGTTTGCAGTCTCATCATTGCGATGAATTGCAATTTCTTGGGTATGTGTGTAAGATGCCATCACAATTTCAGTTGCATCCTTCAACTGTCTTTTTAAGGGACGTTGCAGACTTACTACAGTTTGGTATTTTGTAGTAATACCGGCACAGACCTGAGCTTACTTCATCAGATGACATTCAAAATAACCTTCCATTTGATAGCATTGGGCATGAGCTGGCATTAGTTAGAATAAACTATTTAAACAGTGGCACAGATATAGTTTTATGTAAAAGCCAAAACAATCATGTTTAAGATTTTCTAATCTTAAATTCTCCCCTCAATATGCTGCTTTTATATTTGTTATATTATGTCATTTCTAATGTTGATTTCTCAGGCACCGAAGCATACAAAAATGAAGAGGAAAGCTTGTCAGTGTGTCGCTAAAATACATGAGACATTCATTTTTTTAGAGAGAGAGAAACATTTTTAAGGAAGGACTAAATTGTGGGCTACATTTTACAATAATTCCTGTGAATCTCTTTGAGACATCTTCCTGATTTGAAGGCCCTATATTAAATGCAAGGATTATTGTTATTATTAATCACTTTAATGCCAACTGACGGACAAGTAAAGGCTACAAACATCTGTGTACTACTCAATTTATGTCAAATATTATTTTATGTAAAAGCAATAATCAGTTTATCTAATTATTAGACTGTAACTCTCGTGAGTTGTACCCATTTATTGGGAATGTTAGACTGTAGCTTGTTTTACTCAGTTAGCCAGAACCACAAAACTATTCTCCTTTATAAGGTCATTGATTGCTTTAAATCTACAGCAAAATCTGATGAAATCTGTGACAAGATATTACAGTAGAAATAAATATTACCTGAAGGTATCATTAAAGGTTATGTGCAGGTAATGTGCAGGTTCAGTCTGGCTATTGTGAAACAAAACTGATCACAATAATACTTGCTGCATTTTTTTATTAGGGATGGAGATTCTAGCTATTTTCAACCATTAATCATACAATTCCAGTCTTAGAAATTGAATAGGACTGTGAATAAAGGAAATAAATTAATTGTTCAGAGTGTTTGGTGTCTGTGCCGCTCTTGTCTAGTATAACATTAAAGAGATTTAATCTAGCTACTTGTAAGGACTTGTCAATCACTAAAAAGTTACTTCATGATCATGTTAGAAATCAATTACTGTAAAAGGAAACAATTTCATTTCATGGCTGTGCTGCATGAACATTTCTCCTGCGCTTTTGCCACAGCCATCACATTTATTTATTAATATGTAGCTCTATTTCATCCCTGTTATGTCCCCTGTGATCTTCCTTTGCATTGCCCCGAGGCCCTGGGCAGCTGCCTTGTGTCCCAGTGACGAGAACTGTACGCAGTATTCCAGGTTCAGCCTGACCAAAGCATTATATAGCTTGAGTATGACGTCTGGGGATCTGAACTCAACTGAACTCAACCGATCTGGCAATGCAGTCCAGCATTCTGGTTGTCTTGTTTATTGCTGCTTCACACTGCACTAAAAGGCAGCGTTTAACCCCATAATCAGCTCTCCGATAAATACAGCTCCTAAATTTTTTCACCAGTTCTGCTGATCTTCATTAGGAAGAATATTCCTTTAGAAGCTGGTCGTACTGATAAATTCCATCACTTCCAAATGGGAAGGTGACCAGTTATCTAGTCATCCTGCTTTTATATATTGGCGTTAGATGTATGAGCAGAAATGCTGTACGATGCCACATATAGCACAAGCGCATCATTATTATTGACTTCAACCTCCTGAAGTGCAGTTGAGTTAAAATAGAAGTGGAGACCGACCGGTATTCTAGACTTGCTGTGCTTGTGTTATGTCAACAGAGTTAGGTATCATATTGAAGTGATTATAATGTCCTTGTGTAGGAATGTAAGAAATCTACCAGGCTGGAGGGGACCATTGTAGTCCATCTGGTCATCCCAAGCTTAAAAATCCACTGCATCTCCTATCTTCCCAGTTATAAATTTGTAACTGCCATAGGTTACAGTTCTAGTCTTCTAGAAAAATACAGGAGAAATGAGACAGAGATGTAAACGTTATGGAGCTTCACATGATGGCAGTGTTCACTTTGTCCTCTTGCCTTTCTCATCCCTCTTCTCAACGTTTGTCTTGATTTTGTCACACTGTCCAATCCTTTCTCATGATTCTCACCCTTTCCTCCTTGCAGCGAGCTGAATGTGCCTGTCCCATCTGTTCCCTCTGAGCGACAGTAGTGGGCAGCTGAGGGTTTATTAAATTCAACGCAAGAGTTACTTCAGGCGTTTTATTTCCTTTGTCATTAAATCTTCCAGAAATATTTGTAATTAATTTAATAATTTCTGACATTAATACAAATCGCTACTGACATTGACTATCAAGAGGCCAACATTGACTTCACAAAATAGTCTAACGAGAACATTTAATCTGAGGGAGCACTTCGGCCAAACAGAGGCTGCTTGGTAACACTAATGTACCTTCCCTATTCCACTTATCATAAGTCTTCTCATCACTCATTGTAAGTGAATAATACAAATTAAACTCCATTCTGCATGAAAAAACACCTGAATGAACAATTATTGCGATATATATCACAAAAACAAAAATTCATAGCTATAGTAATAACATTTTCAACACACTCCAGTCATTTTCAAAATCTGTGTTTTTATTAGTCACTTGACTATCTTTGCTTTAATTCCAATTTATTTATTGGGATCTTTGCCAAAAATGTGAGGAAGGACAAGAGGACAACGTCCTTGAAAGTTGCTGGTGCACACTGCGCAGTAACCTGTCCCTTCAAGTAATTCTACGGATATTAATGTCCTGCTGAATCACCATCTGGAGAATCATAGGCATCAAGCAGCTGTAATATCTTTAAAGCGAGGTGCATTAGTGACAAAGTCCTGTTGCTAATGCCGAGACTCTGGCCTGACAGGGTTGTAGACCAGCTATCAGGGTCTGATAAAAGGTTGCTTCTTACTGGTAATGATAACACGCATACCAGGAAAAGGCTAATATGAAACATTTTCTGGAGTTACGCTTGAATTGGCTTTGTATAGATACATCTGTGCATGATGAATCAATGGTGTTTAAATATTTACATTCATTTATGGGAAATGTATCACATGATGCAAGTCTTACTCATTATGTTCCATTTGACACTGCATGACTTATTTATCAAGGATTGCGGTTTCAATAGGACATAATGATTCTCACAGAGAGCTGTCGTCTTGTGGTAAAGAGCTGTGCCATTGCAGTTGCAGCAGTCTGCATAGAAAACCACCTGGATGTACTGACAGTTTACTGAGAGTTGGTCCAAATGTTTGAAACATCTCTCATTTACTTGGTGTTTACGTGAGAACAAATAACCAGAAACCACTAGCTGTATTGGGTGACAGATTACCTTTGTGGCAGACAAGGGTTTGACGGCTCTATGCAGATTCTAAGTGAAGAGTTCTTTAAGAATATAAGTATTATAAAAATTGCCTATATTTCTGAATCCAACGTTTAAACAGCTGATGTACTTTGTTGTTAAGATTTGAATGAGTTTCAGTGACATGGACAATGACGTGTAAATAGCTCCGATATGTTCAACTCTGAATATCTGCAACAAATCTCTAGTTCTCAAAGTCTTTGGTTAATTCTTCAGAGATTGTGCGGCAGACTGTTCTATTTTAAATGTAGGGTTATTTTGCTCCCTACTCCATGTTTCCCTGCTGCAGTCAAGGATGATTAATTTGAAGAGAACTCATTCAAATCTTTGGCCAACTTGCTTCCTTAAACTGGAAATCACGATTACATAACCATGCAGCATGAGTATTTAATAAAGGACAGGATGTGATTGTAAGCTGAAGGAGCCATGGAACTTAACCAAGTAGCTGCCTTGTGCGCAGTCAACGTATGGAATATAGTGCCATCTGGTGCAGCAAATATTGGTTACACCGTAAACATTTGGAAGGCAACTGGGATGAGTTCCTGCAACCTTTCGGGGAGTGGCTCTCACTTACCCATTTGCAGAGTTGCATTGGAAGGTCATCTCCACTCCTGAGGAATAATGGCAAAGGGAGAAGTGAGGTTGGAAAAACAGATTTATAAATTGACATAAGGCAAAAGAATAGAAAACAATAAATAGCAACATTCCACTCTTTCACAGCCTTGCTCTTTCTTTCAAAAGAGTCCTGCAGTGTTCGTTTATTTGCAAGGATTATTATATAAAAATACAAGGATTATTATTATTAGTTGGGTGTTTGGTTTTGTTTCCTGCAGCTTTTACCAAGCATCATTGTCCAGCTGTGTGCATGGCTGTTCTGAGAGTTCCTCCATTGTTGCTGTGTAACCCAGCACTGCAATCAATGTGTGTGAGAGTATCTTGGGCTGCTTTGCCTTCTGATATTTGTGCTTCCCTTGCAAAAGCACCAACAACACATCAGCCCTCCTCCTCAATCTTCTCAGGACACAGTTTGAGTGGATGTTATTATTATTGTTTTATTATTATGTGCAGCTATTTCAGTGCTGTTTTATGTAGGAGTGGGAAAATCCTTCCTTTGCTTTGCTCAGTTGAAATTGATAGCTTTGTTATATTTGTTTCTATTTTAGGATCTCACTGATCAGAAGCGGTGAGAAGCTCCAAGCTAACGAACACTTAATAGTACAGGAATATCTCGATAAGCCATTCCTTATGGAGGGCTACAAGTTTGACTTGAGGATATACATTCTGGTGACGTCTTGTGATCCTTTACGAATATTTTTATATAATGATGGACTGGTGCGGATGGGCACTGAGAAGTATCATGCTCCCAATGACTCCAACTTGGTAAGCTGATTTTGGCTCCGATGAGCAATTCATTAAAATGTAACAATTATAAGTGCCGCAAGTGGGTGGATTGGCTGGACAGTTTCATAGACTGGCTCTAGCGTAGCTCCATTTCCAATTATATCAACGGGGTTAACATTGCCGCTTGCTAAATCTATTCCTTGTTTGAGGAACAATGCTAAACTATGTTTACTTGATTTCTGAATAATGGCAGTGCTCAAACCAGGCTGCAAAGCCCAGGGCAATGCTATTTTATATTCCAAATGGGCAGGGATTCTCTTCCTAAGCCCAAACTGACCTCTTCAAGCTTAATCAGGGGATACTGGCCTAACTGAATCTTGTCAATCAGCACATGGGGACATTTTCCATTCTTGAAAACAGCAAATAGGCCTCGGAAAATATTTTCAGGTTCACCTGGTTAATACTGTTTAATATTCCTTTGGACGAGACATAAACCGAGGACACATCTGCCTGTTCAGGCGCGCGTCAAAGATCCCATGGAAATATGCGAAAAGAGATGGGGTTTGCTCCCGGTGCCCTGGCCAACAGTCCCCCCCAAAAAATAGGTCACTCACTCCCTGGATGCTTGTGAGACATTGCTGTGCGTAACTGGCTGCCATGTTTAACCCACAGAATACATACTCGATCCGCTTTGCAGTATATCTCGCGAAATGCTTTGAGATGTCTCAGTGACGTGATAAGACGCTTTATCAAATGCAAGGAATTTTATTATTATTCATTAGTATTGGCCGGGCCTTAGATCAAGTGATAATTGTAATTTTTTTCAGTAATAGTAGGTTTGCTGGGAGCAGGTTAATTTTGATTCAAAGTTCTTGTCACATGATGAATGCCCCACTGGTTCTGCAGATGATGTGACACTTGATGGGACAACTCCCATTGCTTTGCAGGTAGCAGTTCCTCCGTAGCTATTTTGGTCAGCGCCATTTACAACAGATTGCTGCCCTCATATGTTTGTCTGTCACTTGCAATAACCCACTAAGTTTTTAAATACAAGAAGTATTGTTGCTCTAACAGCTGCCTCTGGGAATTCAAACCTGTTCTATTTAAATTGTACAGTTCAGTGACTGTGAGGGAAAGGCTCCCCTTAATTTACCGCAGTTCATATCACTATTTAATTATACAGTATTTACAGTATGAAAAGATGTTAGATTAGAACAGGAGAACAGTGTGTCAGATAAACAAGAACCTTAAATGGACTGAATGTAAAATTGCGCATCCAGCCAGTGCAGCATGAACAGGAATTAAATTTGCTCATTCACTCATTCACTTCACTTTCAGCAATTTGGGACGGCCTCCTGACGTGAAAGGCGCTCTATAAATGTAATTTTATTGTTGTTGTTGTTGATGACTGATCGTAGAGAAAAGCGGCTGCCTCAAATAAAATACAGTCACTACACTTCACTTTACAGTAAAGTCCGGTGAAGAGCTTTGAAGATGTTTTGATAACACAACAAGGAGCTTTGTGAAATGCGAGGATTATTATAAATAGGAGATGAGTGAATTAAAAAGCGAGGGTTGGTTGCTTGTTTAATCTGACACCAAGTCTCTAGCATGCTATAAATTGCAACATGTGTAGTGGTAATAACCAGCTCCCCATAACTTGTACGATTACCAGAACATCAATATTTAATTGGTTTCAGCTTGTAGGAGATCACGGCATTTATATGTAACAGGGTTTCAGGCAGAGTCCGAAACTCTGTCTGTCCAGCGTCTTGGGATTTCCACCCGATGTGAAAGGCGCTATACAAATGAAATTTTGTTGTTGTTGTTGTGACCACCCCAGTGATTGAGAGGACATGGCACAGGAGTTCACTTAACAGTCCTTTCTTTCCAACTCACACAGAGTCAGTTGTTTATGCACTTGACCAACTACTCAGTGAACAAGCACAATGAGAACTTTGAGCGGGATGAGAATGCAGACCGAGGCAGCAAACGCTCTATCAGGTGGTTCACTGAATTCCTTCAAAGCAACGAATATGATGTAACCAAATTTTGGAATGATGTTTCCGTACGTATTGATTTTCTTTCTGAAATGGATTTCGTCCTAGGAATTAAATGTAATCCAAGATACAAAAATGCTCTTATTACAAAGAGCTTCCCCCTTTTATGTCTCAGCCATGTAATTTATGAAAAATTCCCTATACGCTAAGAAACCTGACAGTTATATCAACACACAGTGTCTTCTCCTGAGGTTTGCTAATAGGTTTGTTAATTGCTGGTCCCCATTGTGTTAATGGAGCCCTAACACAGCCCATTGCTAACATCAGCCATGACATCTGAATTGGCAGGTCTTTCATACGTTATATAGCCAGGAATAATAGGAATTTGCATTTACGACATTGGTCACCAATGGACCACCACACCTTATAGTCTAATGGAATATCTTATAACCCTTTACCTTCATACTCATACTTTTCATTTTTAGAACTCCCTTCTTGTAAGTGTCTGCAGGTTAAATTACAGTAATGGGCAAGGGAGAAGTTAAGGCTCTTTTGTAAATTGCTCCCCACCTCCTTCACTCAAGGTACAATCCTTAAGGTACAATTTCACATGTGTAGAGAATGTTCTGGTATGTTGCCCAAGTGGCTATTCTTTATGGGTGAGTGGAGAGAGTGAGTATTGGCAGGTTAGTCAACCATGGAGGGCATCAGAGCTCAGCCAAAACCTTTAGTTGATGTACGTGGGCCAGCGATGCTCTGGGTGTGTTCATGTTCTCCTGCAGCATCAGGATCCCTGTTATTTAGCTGGTGTGAATGGTCTGTAAATTCACAAGAGAATTATCAGCACGTGATGCGCTTTATTCTATTATTTTTGATTGTTGATGGAAAGACTATGTCTTGGAGTGACTCCAAGACATAGTCTTTCCATCAACAATGGAGCAGACATCAAGTGGAGATTGATTATATGGGATGAATGGAGCAGACATCAAGTGGAGATTGATTATAAGGTGCAGTGCAATATTACAGCAGATGAATCTTTGCTGGATTCAGTATGGTGAATAGAATTGTGGAATATGATTTGCTAGTTCAGTAACATCGCAATTGACAGATTTGGGAGTTGTGAGGAATTTAACTTGGTCTTTTTAAGGAGGAGTTATTATTGCCCAAACACATTGTACAGTCCAGATAGCCTTATACAGCACATTGGGTTAGTCAAATGGAAATGATTGATTATTACAAAGAGGCTAAGAAAGATTTGTTGTGTTTCACATTTTGAAACTTCAGCCCAGTACTAGTGATTGCCGGATTAATGACGAAGATTAAGAATAAATCAGGTGCTCGCTCTGTAAGCATTTGGGTTGGCTGGGAAACTTTAGCAGCAGTACTTTGGAGAGAGAAGGACAAGCCATAAGGATGGCATGTCACCCTTCACTGAAACCCTAGCTGACCTGCCCTCATCAGGCAAGCTGTACAAGGCCTTGCACAGGCTTACGGTGGAGGTACATTGGTGAGCCATGATCCAGCTTGACATTGCCTTACCTATCTAAAGGAGTAGGTGGCAGAGGATGGCCAAAAGTTGTATTTTTTAAAATTTAGAAACAAAAGCCCTTGATATTGACCAGTTGTGTTAGGCTGCCGTTTCTGGTCAGGATATGGCTTACTAATTCATTTTCATGTTTATGATAATATGTCTCTTATCAACAGGATTTAGTTGTGAAGACTTTGATCGTGGCGGAGCCTCACGTCTTGCACGCTTACCGTATGTGCCGGCCTGGCCAGCCTACAGGCAGCAGCAGCGTCTGCTTCGAAGTGCTCGGGTTTGACATCCTTCTGGACAGGAAACTGAAACCCTGGCTTTTGGAGGTGAAGTGTACTTTCACGTGAAACTTGTGTTGTTGTATTTAGTGCATATACATAAGGAGATAAAATACGTATTCATCAGCATATATGTATGAACATGAATCATTTCAGAGTGAAAGTCTCTGCAGGCCGATCAGCTCCTGGCCTTTCATCATTTGTCCATGAAACCTTTTATTGGGCTGAATTTTTAGTTGGACAATCACAGGGCACTTTGAGGATGATATAATAATAATAATAATAATAATCCTTGCATTTGATGTAGTGCTTTTCACGTCTAGGATGAAACCAATGTGCTGCGTTTTGCTCCTGTTTACATATTTTTGAGATGATTTAGGCCATGTCCCTGTTGATTATTTTTAAACTGTCTTTTGTGGAGGACCCAATCTGTCGTGAAATTACATTGAGATCAAAGAAGCAGCATCCCCAGCCCCTATGTCTGGAGTCCTGTAGCTCAGTGGTTAGACCACTCGCTTTGCAAGCGAGAGACCTGAGTTCAATTCCAGGCAGGGCGAAACCTAGGGCAAGTTTCCTTACTCCACACACCTAATAATAATCCCTCCAAAACCAAAAACAATAATAAATTGGTCATTTTCAATCTATGACTGTTTGTGGGACATTGCTGTGCGCAATTGGCTGCCGCGTTCGCCCACTAATATACAGTCAATTCACTTTACAGTGTGTTCTGTGAAGCGCTTTGGGACATCCTCCCGACGTGAAAAGCGCTGTATCGAATGCAAGGATTATTATTATTATGTTGTAGCCCTTGATGTCCTACAGACTAAGATTTTGTGACAAAACATTTAGGACAGATTGCAAACCTTAGTTATTTTTTTGTGACTCTGGGTGTGTAAGTTTTCTCTGCTGGATGTTGGTATGTCCGCCCGTTAAGTTTTCACACAGTGTCCTGACTCCTCTCTCGTTCTCCTTGTGACTGTGATTGATGTAATGCTGCCCCCCTGTGGTAGCGGTATCTTTTACATCCACTGACTTTAAAAAAAATCTGTTTAATTTGCCCTTCTGCTGAGAATGGGACCAGGTTTTCAGAAAACCCATCACACGTACTGTACAAATTGCTATATTTCTGATGTGACCTTACGGGCAGAGATGTTGCAATAGCCATCTTTCCCTTAGGAAAACTGATCTTTCCTCAGGAAGACTAAAATATTGTTTTGTGGAAGTGTTCAGAAATACTGNTTTTTTTTCTCTCCACACACAGATTAACCGTGCTCCTAGCTTTGGAACTGATCAAAAGATAGACTTCGATGTGAAGAAAGGTGTCTTGATCCATACAATGAAGCTGCTTAACATTCGGTAAGTTAACATTCAGTAAGTGTTTCGCCCACAAATATACAGCCAATTCACTTTACAGTCTATTCTGTGAAGCGCTTTGAGACGTCTAGCAGATGAGAACTCACCTTGCAAGTGAGAGGACCTGAGTTCTTTTCCCGGGCAGGGCGAAACATCGAGCAAGTTTCCTCACTCCACATGCCTCTGTTCACCTAGGAGTACGTAGGAACCTGGTTGTTAGTTGATTGGCGGATCGCTTTTCCGGGAAAAATAATCAGTTCAAAAAAAAGTAAAAATAAAATAATAATAATAATTTTGTCGCTCAATTTCTGGGTGTAATTGGCTGCCATATTTCGCCCACAAAATATACAGTCAATTCACTTTACAGTCTATTCTGTAAGAGATAGAATGTGTGCAAATGAGAACAATAAATAATATGTAGTTAATTCCAGTCTGTGATTAAGCAGTAAGTGGAGTTGGTGTTGCAGCTTGATTAATATAGTGCGCTATTGTTTGCCAGAGGATTGTGTTTGAAACAATTATCAGCACATTGATACAGCAACCTCAAGATTTAGATTCATTTTAAAATTGTCTAAATCTGTGCTAAAGCTTTGTTTTGGTGGTACATTTGGTGGCTGGGTTTCGAGTGTTTTACCTAGTGGCAATGGTACTGTCAGTAAGCACATATTTGTTAGTATTTAGGCACTGTCAGCTCATTCAACAAAGTGGTGATATTCTTGAGCTGAAAGACTGGAAAGTCACTTTGTTGAATAATATCAAATGCAAGGATTATTATTTGTAGAGTTGAGCTGAGAATTGATGACGAGAGTGTATAGGGGAGATGCAGAGCAGATTCTGTGTTATGAACTACATTTTTGGTGTTTCTCAGTCAAGTTTGGTTTCTGTTTCAGAGCAAGTGATAAAAGTAAGAACCTCGCCCAGCAGAAAGCTGAGGCTCAAAAGAGACTTTACGGGCAAGGCTGTATGAAGCGTCTGTTGGCAGGTTCCTCTGAGTGGGAGAAACAGCGCTATTCACTAGAGATGAGAAGAGAGGAGCTGGTAGGAATTCAATTACTTTTTCCTCTTAAGATTTAACTACAACAACAAATTATATTTGTTTAGCGCCTTTCACGTCAGGAGAACGTCCCAATTTAAGATTACAATATATAGTTTTGCTTACAAAATACACAGTCAAAATTCACTTTACAGTATATTCTGTGTAGCACTTTGAGAAGTCTCAAAGACATGATAAGGCGCTATATCAAATGTAAGGATGATTATTATAGTAACGTAATATTTAGAAATCACTTTTTTCTCCCACTGTTTGCAGAAGGAAAGGCTTTCTCAGGTTCGCAAGCAGATTTCAAGGGAAGAGCATGAAAACAGACATTTGGGGAACTACAGGTAACGACTTTGCTTATATATTGTGATTGAAACAAGGTATAGTAACCCTTTAAGTACAATAACACAATGAAAAATGTTTGTAATGAAAACATCAGTGTTATGGTGTTGTAGAGATACTTTTGATGACAAATCTTGTGGATTTTTTTTGAGAAATTGTATTTCAATATTACAATTTCACATCTAAATCCACTTTCTGTACATTTTACACTGTTAAAACAATAAACAGAACGTACACCATGAATAGGTTTATAAACACAGTAGTCTATTCGCCCTTCTGTAACTTCTAGGTATCATCTACTTGTATTGTAGAAGGCAGCTGAGAATTTGATCTGAAGTTTACAGATTGTACTTCAATGCCAGCAATCTAAACTGACACCCAGATTGTAGTAGCTTACCTCTATTAGCTGCAGAAGTTAGTTTTATTGTACCAACATAAGAACATAAGAATTAGGAGCAGGAGTTGACCATTCCACCCCTCGAGCCTGCCCCGCCATTTGATAAGATCATGACTGATCTTCAGACCTAACTCGAATTACCTGCCCTATCCCCATATCCCCTAATCCCTCTATTTTTAAAAAATCTATCAGTCTCAGCCTTGAAGATGTTCAAGGACTGAGCACCTACAGCCTTCTGAGGTAGTGAATTCCATAAATTCACTACCCTCTGAGTGAAGAAATGTTTCCTCAACTCTGTTCTAAAAGGCTGACCCTTAATTTTAAGACTGTGACCCCTGGTTATAGATTCTCCTACCAGGGGAAACAGACCCTCAGTGTCTACTTTATCCAGCCCTTTAAGAATCTTACATGTTTCAATAAGATCTCCCCTAATTCTTCTGTACTCTAGAGAATATAGCCTTAGTTTATTCAGCCTATCCTCATAGGTCAGTCCCCTCATCCCAGGAACTAACCGAGTGAATCTACGCTGCACCCCCTCTAGGGCAAGTATGTCCTTTTTTAAATAAGGAGACCAAAACTGCACACAATACTCTAGGTGCGGTCTCACCAAGGCCCTATACAGTTGCAGCAAGACTTCCCTACTCTTGTACTCTAAACCTTTTGCAATGAACGCTAACATGCCGTTCGCCTTCTTAGTTGCTTGCTGCACCTGCAAACTAACTTTTTGAGACTGGTGTACAAGGACACCCAAATCCCTCTGAACACTAACACTATCTAATGTCTCCCCCTCTAGAAAAGAATCTGTTTTTATATTTTTTCTACCTAGGTGAATAACTTCACACTTCCCCACATTAAATTCCATCTGCCACCTTCTCGTCCACTCCGCTAGCCTATCTATATCCCGTTGCAATCTTTTTGCATCATCCTCAGAGCTTACTCTCCCACCTAGTTTAGTGTCATCCGCGGATTTAGATACGTTACATTCAATGTCCTCGTCTAGATCATTGATGTAAATTGTAAATAGCTGAGGCCCAAGCACTGATCCTTGTGGCACTCCACTAGTCACATCCTGCCAATTCGAGAATGACCCGTTTATCCCTACTCTCTGTTTTCTACCTGTTAGCCACTCTTCGATCCATGTTCCCATTAATCCCGTGGGCCTTAACCTTGTGCAATAGCCTTTTGCGTGACACTTTGTCAAATGCCTTTTTAAAATCTAAATATACTACATCTACTGGTTCCCCCCTATCTAACCTGCTAGATACATCTTCAAAAAACTCTAAAAGATTAGTTAAGCATGACTTCCCTTTTGTAAAGCCATGTTGACTCTGCCTAATCTTGTTATGGTCTTCCAGGAATCCCATAACAACATCTTTAATTAAGGACTCAAGAATTTTCCCTACCACTGATGTCAGACTAACTGGTCTATAGTTCCCCATCTTTTCTCTCCCACCCTTCTTAAATAGTGGTGTTACGTTTGCAATCTTCCAATCAATGGGAACCGTTCCAGAATCCAGAGAATTTTGGAAGATCAAAGACAAGCCATCCACTATCTCAGTAGCCACCTCTTTTAAAACCCTAGGATGTAGGCCATCAGGTCCAGGAGATTTATCAGTTTTAAGACCTGACAATTTACCTAAAACCATTTCTTTACTAATATTAATTCCCCCAAGTTGCTCGCTAACATTTGTCTTCTTGGTTCCCCTCTATTCTTGGTAGGTTTTCAGTGTCTTCTAAGGTGAAGACAGTGGCAAAGTACTTGTTTAATGACTCTGCCATGTCTTTGTCCCCTACTATAATTCCCCCGTCTCTGCCTGTAGCGGACCCACATTTACCTTTGACAGCCTCTTCCTCTTTATATATTTATAAAAACTCTTGCAGTCTGTCTTTATGTTCTTTGCTAGTTTGCCCTCATATTCCATTTTCTCCCTCTTAATCACTTTTTTGGTTCTCCTTTGTTGATCCCTAAAGTTCTCCCAATCCTCAGGTTTACTACTCATCTTAGCTGTTTTATAGGCTTCTTCCTTTAACTTTATACTTTCCCTAACTGCTCTAGTTAGCCACGGTTGGGCCACCTTTCCCGTGGCATTCTTATTCCTCAAAGGAATACGTGCTCGCTGGGAATTTTGCACTATCTCCTTAAACGTCTGCCATTGCTGGTCTACTGTCAAATCCTTAAGTCTAATTTCCCAGTTTATTTTGGCTAAATCCTCTCTCATACCAGCAAAATTGGCTCTACTTAAATTTAAAACCTTTGCTTCGGACTTAACTACTTATCTCTCTAACTTAATGCTAAATTCCATCATATTATGATCACTTTGCCCTAGAGGAGCCTTAATTTCCAGTTTGCTGATCAGCCCTGCTTCATTGCACAAAACAAGGCCTGTTCCCTGCTTGGCTCCTCGGCACACTGATCTAGGTAATTATCCCTAATACATGCTATAAACTCTTCCTCTATCATACTTTTCCCAATTTGGTTGCCCAAATCTATGTGCAGATTAAAATCACCCACAATTAATGATTTTCCTTTACTGCATGCTCTGCTAATTTCCTGATTTATACCTTGAGAGATACCATGACTGCTGTTCGGGGGTCTATAAACTACTCCCACTAGAGTTTTCTGCCCCTTGTTGTTACGTACCTTTACCCATACTGACTCTACTTCCTGCTTTTCTGATTTTAAAATCTTTCCTCTCTACTGTTTTTATCCCATCCTTTATTAGCAGGGCCACACCCCCTCCTCGTTTACCACATTGCCTATCTTTTCTATACGCCACATACCCTGGAATATTTAGCTCCCACCCTTGATCTCCCTGTAACCATGTCTCGGTGATGGCTACCAGATTATACCCGTTTGTTTCTATTTATGCATTTAACTCATCTATCTTGTTTCGAATGCTTCGCACATTCGGAACTAGCACCTTTAATTCTGACTTCGGGCTATTAGTCCTTTTCACCAGTACCCTATCCTTGGGCTTCCTTTCCCCGCTTGACACACATTGCTCGTCACCCTGGTTAATCTGCTCTCCCACTTTCATCGGTCCTAATTTTAATTGTGACAGATTACATGTGATTGAATTTCCCCCCCCCCTTAGTAGTTTAAAGCCCTGTCTACCTCCCTATTTATTCGTATTGCCAGGACATTTGTCCCGGCGCTGTTTAGGTGGAGTCCATTCCTTTGGAATAGCTCCTGTCTCCCCCAATACTGGTGCCAGTGGCCTGTAAAGTGAAACCCCTGCCCTCCGCACCATTCTTTTAGCCAGGTATTCAGTTCTTTAATTTTTTTTTGCTTGTACCAATTTGCCCCTGGCTCAGGTAATAATCCCGATATTAACACCTTCGAAATTCTACTCTTAAGCTTAACTTCCAATTCCCGGAACTTGCTCCTCAACTCGTCCCTACCTGTCCTACCTACATCATTGGTCCCTATGTGAATCACAACTATTGGATCCACTCCCTCTTGCTTCAAATTTTTCTCCAGACCAGAAGTGACATCCTTCACCCTGGCCCCAGGAAGGCAACAGAGTCTTCTTGTCTCCTTGCTACGGCTGCAGAAAAGTGCGTCAGTCTTCCTGACTGTCTCATCCCCAATTACCACTATATTCCTTCTGACTATTACCAGTGTGGGGAGGTGTTGGGGTAAGTTTGCCCATCTTCCTCACAGACTTCCTTGTCCATGCAGGTTGCAAGTATTTCATACCTTTTGGACAAGGTTAAAGCCTGGGGTTCCTCTGCCCCTCTCTTTCGGGTCTCCTTACGCGCCTGTCTGACCGTCACCCAGTCCTGTCCGTGGCTGGCAACGGAAATGTTCCCTGGGACTCGTGGGAGTGTCTGGCTCCAGGATGAAACTGTCCAGGAAGCTCTCACCATCTCTAATGCTGCGCAGTGTCTCCACCTGAGGCTCCAGCTCAGCTATTCTAAGCTGGAGCTTCCTCAGTTGCAGACATTTGCTGCAGATGAAGTCACCCGGGCTCAGGTTGCCTCCATCAACTCCCACATACCACATTCCTCACACATCACCTGCCAGGTCATTCTCTCCTCTCACTCTATTTATCCCTGTATTATTGTCGTTTAGAAGATATACTTCCCCTCTGCACCTAATTCCCACTCTCACCCAATTCCTTCTCACTCTGGCCTCGCCTCACTCCGGATGTAGCTCACTCTGGGCTCTCAACTGATTGTTTCATTATATACTTCATACAGCTAAATTATTGTAAAAAATGAAAAAGTTTTTCATCCTCTTTGCTCAGTTAGAAGTGATCCACAATACATATGTATTTATATATATTACACCTATCAACGGTTCATTTAGTGGATGACATTATTGACCTCAATAACAGACTGTTCCTTTTCTGTCAAACTAGACGGATTTATCCACCTGATGACAAGCAGTTGCTGGAGAAGTATGAGAATCTGCTGGCTATTGCCTTTCAGACATTCCTGGCTGGAAGGGCAGCATCACTGCAAAGGGAACTGAACAATCCCCTGAAGCACATGAAGGTAATGGGCCAGGAAGCCCAGCCTAACATATTCATTAGCAAAATTACACATCCGGGCAGGTTTCGACGGCATTGCTTTTAAGATACAGATTTCATTAAAATGAGTTGCCAAAATGTTCTTTACATTTCTTCCCCCGCCCCCCCCCCCTCAATTTTCCCTTCCTCCATTCAGCACGTATTCTCCTTGTAGAAGTATTCGTAGCAGCTGAGGAGGACAGGGATGTCAGTGGGAATTTTCTGAGCAGCACCATCTGTGAGGGTGGGTTGGTTGACAGTGGGCAACTGATCGAAAAAGTCGTGGGGGGGGGGGGGGGCCTGCTGTTCCAACCTCTGCCTGCAGGTGGTGCCCTCCGCTATTGTCATGCTGTCCATCTAGTGGTCTGGCTAAGAACTGATGGGCTGGATGCTGTGATGTACGGAGCTTGAAGGGGGGAAAAGAGGAACAAGCCAGCACTCCACACCAGAGCTGTAAAATCTCGTCACCAATGGAGCAATGTGAAAAGACTTTTCCCAAGAGACGCGCACTCTTGATCTCCGTTCCCCTTTGTAGCTTTATTTAAAAAGCAAGAAAAGCACCTTCAGCGCTAATCCTTTCTGTTCTACATGTCCTGGCTTGTTGGTCAGGCTACAGAAGCAGCTAAATAGGTCAAACGGGAATCTTATTATCCTGCACGTTGGTTACAAATGATATCATCTTCCCTCTGAGTAGTGAAAGCTCTTCCCAAGCTTAAAAGTACATGCGTATATTCTACAATGTACTAGCAAGAAACTAGATTTTTCGCAAACTTTTTATGTTTTTAAGATGAAAAATGAACATCTGTTCTGTGGACAAACAAGAGTTGCTTCCCGTGATGTCTCTAGTTAAATCTAATGTTCTGAGTCCTTTAAAAATTGCACCAGTTTGTAAGAATTTGGAATATTTTCCCTGGATGTCTGGTATCATCACATGGAGACAAGAGAGAAGCATATGTGTTTTACATTGTTATGTTGACACGGTGTGTTTGAGCCATTCCTATCTTTGGACGTCTTAAGAATTATGCATTTATGGCATTCATGGATATTGTGTGTGGAGGTTTAAGAAAGGGAGATATCCACTTTCCCTGTATTCTTGGGAGCAGGATTGACTTAGTGTTTGAGGCAGCTGACTCTTAAATATTCTTTCTTTTCTGGTTGTGCTGGTTTAGTGGCTACTTTTTTCAGCTAGAAGGAGAACTGGGCCTGTGTTGTTAGAGCCTTGCAATGACCGGTTCCTTTGTCAAGTCCTCTTTCCCTCAGATTGAATTTCACTTCTGCAATAGTGCAACCGCTGAGAACTAGCAAACATTACTAAGCCCAGGCAAGCGAGTCTGAATGATTGGCAGCTCTGGGACACTGAACTGGGGACTTTCTGCATAGAAGGGTAATCAATCAATCAAGACATTGCCTGCTGCTTTTTCAGATAAAAAGGCTGCTTTGAATAGCTTTGGTATAATTTAGAATGTTGAATTTTATTAGACATTCATTCAAAAATGAAGTGAAAGAAACATATGGAAAACATGAAGCGTGCCATGTGAGGTATATGTTTCATCAATCTGAACTTGACATGTCTTTCAGCTGGAGGAGTGTGTTAAATTGCAGGATTTCATACACCACCTAGAAATTGAGTGTATTTAAAAGGCTACACTTTTCATGTTTGGGAAATGTTGCTTTGCTTTGTTTGTGAATACAAGAACGCAAAGATATAAATCGCGCCAAAATGTATTGTCGTGTTATTTGCACATGACAGCAATGCAAAACATGACATGTAGGTTAATAGGTTTTCCTTTTCTTCTTCTTAAACAATCAAAGGGTTTCAGAATGCTTTTTCATGGAATCCTTGTCACTCTGACATCAAACAAAGTAAGGAGTTTATACTAGAAGTGGTTGATGTCTGTCAGCGCTCACATACCTCAAAATCCATGCCCTGCTGAAATATCCTGCTCATAAGTCTCATAGAATGTTCTTGGACAAAGTTCGCTCACTTATTCAAATGGTCTGAAAGAAGTTTTGAGACAAAGGTGACAGGGATGGATTTGTTTCTAAAATCCAACCTACTTAAGATGTCAAATAAGACAAATTTCTTACAATGTGATTGTTGCAGTTGGTTAATTATTTTGTTGATTCAGTAAGCTCACTCTTCTCCTGGAGGTCTTGTGTTTCCCTATATTTCACCAGAAGCATTCAATTACAGACCTACTCACTTATCTTGAATTTGTTTATATCAACAACCCACCTTTGTTTGCAAAAATGTGAAGTGTTACTGCTTCCTGAAAGAGAGAGGTTCTGAGGTCTTGGCTTGTCGATACATACTATATTTTTTTAAAGGAAGAAGATATTCTAGATCTGCTGGAGCAGTGTGAGATGGACGATGAAAAGCTTCTGGGAAAATCTCCTCGACAGAGAGGGCCGAAGGTAAATTAATTCATCCTGGAACAACACCTTTGGGCTATTACTTTCAGTATCTTTTTAATGTATTAATGGGGGAAAACGTCAGTAAAGATTATTAAATGGCAGCCTGGCTCAGTTGGTAGCACTCTCTTCTCTAAGTCAGAAGGTTGTAGGTTCAAGCCCTACGTTGGGATTTGAAATGCATATACTTTAGGCTGACACTTCAGGATATGTTGCATTATAAAGATGCTATCCTTCGGATGAGACGTTCAGTTGGATATTGAAGATCCCATAGCACTATTGGAAAAGAGAAGGAGGTTCTCCTGTTGTCTTGGCCTACAATCCCCTAAATAAAATTGGTTATTCATTGCCACATTCTCCCCAAAAAATACGGTCATACTACAGTAAAAATCCTGTGGAGGGCTTTGAGATGTCCTCCTGATATGAAAGGCATCCTATTCTTATTATTTTTGCAAACCGCACTAGTTAGAAATGATAAGAGTTTTTTTTTCTTTCTGCATTTTGCAGCCGTTGTTCTCTATGCCAGAGAGTACCCAGCCCTCTACACGGAAGCAGAAGGGTGACGAAAGCAGCAGCAGAAGCAGTAGCTGTAACAGCAGCTCTTATTCAGAATCTGATGAAGAGGAGAAAAGAGAGAAAAAAGTGACTTATGGTGCAGAGGAAAAGTTTAAATCACCAGAACGATCTAGTAAGTCTGATTGTAGAGAGTAAGTCATATATATATATATATATTCCATTCCATTCTACTAATTTAGCGTTCTGCCTTCTACTTCAATTTTGATCTGCTTTCTAAGACTGGTAATTATACCAGCCCGCTGTGGAATCTGCTTCAGCACTGCATGGCAACTGCATTCTAATTAGTCTCACTAAGTGGGTCCTCTTGTAACCTGGGTATTCTATCTACTGGCGCAGTGCAAGTCTGGCTTCTGGTGTGGTCTGACCAGCTTCCTGCACAGGCCGACAGCCCGCAGGGAGCTTTGCTCTCGAGAGCATCTCTAGTGTTAGAAATTCGAAGGTGACTTTTGTGGCAACCTGATAACCCGGAAGTGGGAGTTTTTGCTCACCCATCATAACACAATTTGACAAACTCAACACAAGCGCTTTTCCTGTATCGGTTACTCCCAGATAAACTGGCACCTAAGTCAGCAATATGAACTTCCTTCTAGATGTTACAGTTGACACAAATTTCTAATTTTGTCTTATTTTCTTGCATTCACTGGCAATTAGGTCAGCAAGCACAACCTTACTTCATTTTGAGTCTTTAGAAAAAAAGATTTTAATTCCACCTCTCCAGGTGGATTTGAATCAGACTCCAGAAATGAAAAAGCTATCATAATGCACTATTTCTGTGTCATTAGAGGTGCCTGAATCTCTAGTTAACATTACAGTATCCACAAGGGACAGTATCAACTCCAAGACTTTTGGTATCTTTTGCAATACCTATTTAGTGACTAGAAATTCTTCTGTCTGCCACTTGAATACTCATTGATCATCTGCCTAACATGTAGATAATTTATGAGCTCCATTGGAGGAGGACATAAATGCCCCTCAGAATCTCAAATGTATGTATATTTCTGTCCACATTTAGATCCCCAAGTTTGCTTATATTTGTAGATTTAAAGAGTACCAATTTGGGTATGTCATTGTTTATTTTCAGTTTGGGTTATCCCAGAAGAACTTCCTGTGAGCAAACCAGTTCAGAACGATAAAACGCTTGAATCTAGGATAAACATTTGGAAAATGGAGCGATTACAAGGTCCTCTATGCAAGAGATTGATTTTAAACAAAAATAATGTATTTAGTGAAAATTCAAAAGTCTCCTCTTCATCCTCCTCATCCAATCTCAGCCACAGCTAACTAACCTTAATAGATATTCCCTGTAATACGACATCCCTGAGATAAAAGGCTAAATTGTATATTCGTGAACCTAGGAGTCCAGTGGACTATCAGTGGGCCTATAGCTTACTGAAGCTCAGCCTGGCTAAAGACATTTCAGGAGCTCTGATGGAATAACCTGATTGGACAATTGGGAAGACCACTACATTTGCCTTGGCAGATACCTACTTTTGTAATAAGAGGCTTTGGAGTACATAGACCATCTTTTTCCAGTTAGGACCAAAACTGAACTTGACCATGTGCACAGGTCTACTCACCTAAAGCTTTTTGACATCAAGCAGAATAACAGTGAGCACCTTACTCTGAATCAACACCTTGCTCTGAGAGCTGGCGCAGACTTGATGAGCCAAATGGCCTCATTCTGTGCAATAAATCTCTATAATTCTAGAATTCACCCGTCACCATAAGCTTACCTCAATATTTTAAAGAAAGTTTCTTCCTGTGTAAGAAGCAGAATATTGTCTGCACGCAGACTCAATCTGTACACTTTGTCCCTCACAGGAATGTTGGAGTCCTCACTAAGGGAATAAAACCGAGGTTTTAAAGCTTCTACAATTGATAGTGATGAAGAAGGGAGCCTTGATCCAATTTAAATTGGGAGGACAGAAGGTCATGAGGAGCAATTGAAGCCCTGGGAGTCAAGGCTGGAGCTTGAGACCACTTGATGAAGCCTCTTGTTTCATTCGAAAAATCAAATTTACTTGCTTGAAAAGGTTGAACTTAGCTGACAATTGTTTTAGAAGCGAAAACCTTGAAATTGTGCAAATGGTTTATAAATAGGAGTTTTAACCGATTGCAGGGGTGATTTTTGGAAGGCAGGTACATTTGCGGAACTTGGCTGCGTCATCTTATTATGCAACTTTCTTATAATAAACTCACACCTCAAAAGGTCCATAGTCCACCAACAAGCAGTAAATAAGATGTTGATATTTCGAGGTCTGTAACTTTACAGACCTTCGGATAATCATTCATTTTGCTTTAAAGTGGTTCGCTTTTATTTTGAGGATTGTGAGACTCACTATTTTTAAGATATTTTTTCCTTCCTTTTTCTTGTGTCTCCCCATAGCATGCACCTTTCCATATGACAGGGTGGACAGGAGCTCCCCCAATGGCTCAGTGAGTATATCTAGTAAGTAGCTGAGCTATACAGACTGGGAAGGTCCCAGGTTCGATCCCCAGTTAATAATATTAGTAATTGTTTCGCCCACAAATATACAGTCAATTCACTTTACAGCATATTCTGTGAAGCGCTTTGAGACGTCTAGAAGACGTGAAAAAACGCTTATATCAAATGCAAGAATTATTATTATTATTCTATTATATATTATTATCGTAATCTCTGTGCGGGCTGGTTGGCGCACTACAAGTGGCCTGGGTTAGGGAGCAGAATATCAACCAAGGATCAAGGTTCTGATTGAAACACGTGTGTGTATGATGAATAAGAACGGGATTGAGCTTGCCTCTCCTCCTGTGATCTGGTAACCTGCTGACACTCATTGTCGAAACATGAATAATGGCTCTTGCAATGGATCTTGCAACCATTTCCCTATAGAAGGAAAAAAGGGAGTCAACCCCCTTGTACAGAGGACAAAATTACTTCAATAGGTGGAAATAAGAGACGAGGCAGATGAGGAATCTTGGTCTGAGACTGACAAGGGTGTTGGTGTGTTGCATATTGATAGACCATGTCCAGGAGCTGCAAAGCTTTAACAGGCACAGTTACATCTGAAATGGAAAGCAACGACTCATGGAGGGAACATACCCAGTAACCTGTGAAACAGCTTTGAGTGACTAAAGGATAATGTATGCGTAACCTTTAAAGAAAGCCATGGAGCAATGAAAGAATATATTAAATCATGATGTGAAGCAGTATCGTAAATTGGTCTTTAATGGTAACTGTGGCGAGTGTAAGTTGAGAGAAACAGCCCCTGCAGTCTCACTGGAAGGGATCCTGAGATGCAGAAACCATCTGTTTGTGTAAGAGGAATGCCAACTGTACTTCCAGCCTACCAAGAGGTGAAGGTTTGAGAAAATATATCGGAGATAACAAAGTGGACCTGGAAAGTCTGCAAGAAATGACGTGACCTGAGGAAAAGTGCAGGGGTAAGTTAATGTACGCTTTGCATTTATTCTGCTGAATAATGTTCCAGGTGTCTGTAGATACACCTAATATTATGCTGAAATTGAGAATCTTTCCATGCATTTGCAAGGCATTTTTTTTAATTGTTAGAATACTTGTGATTTTTAAGCTATTCTATTTTGGAACTTACAGGGAAAAGCTAAAATACAATAATGTACAAGAGAAGAGAATGGGCAATGGAATTTCCTCCGTAAAAGATTTTGGCACCACGTGAAAAATGGATGATCCAAACATTTATAGTCTGTAATGGGCCTCAGTGGCTGTGTTCCTCACAGTATTGGAGCCAGGGGTAAGTAAGGATACGTTTACATATTAAATTGCCAATGAGAGTGCAGTGGAGCAATCATATGCCAAATATAGTGCAGGATTGTTAACTCGTGCACTGTCAGCAATGACCGACACACAACATTGCAAAACGTCAGGAGCTATATGAAAGATTTATGTGTTTCATTAGCAGAAGCAGCAGAGCCTGGCCTGGAGCCACAGGGGGAGTCACAGTGCAGGGAAAGACACCAGAGAGGCAGTTCCAGGCACCTCTACAACCAGTGTCACAATAAGCAGTATTATGTTTCAGCACAGATACAAGCACTGTGGGTAGCTGTGAGGATGGGAAAAGCAAATGATGGACCACAGAGTGATAAAGAAGCAGTGGAGAATGATGAGGGAGAGATGGAAGAGGACATTACATCTTGTCTTAAGATTTCATGATACCAGGCTGGTCCGAGGGCCATGCAAATTAGGTCATTATGGATGGCCTTTTTAGGCTAAGCAGCTCATCAGACCTCCGTTCAGAAGTAGAATGATGGATCAGGGTGCCATTGGCCACAAGCTAGGGACATCCATTCCCCTTTACAGAGAAATAAAGCTACAGTGCAGGAGTGCACTAACTAAGTTACTGGTGCGTTGACCAAGGATGGAAGCAGTATTAGAATTAACTGTACAACAAGCTGAGAAATGGTCAAACAATACCCACCATTCAATCCATGGGCTTATCATTGTAATGCTCCGGCCTGCTCCAAGTCTCCCACCCGGCCTACCCCACTATCAACAGTCGGGCCTTCAGCTTCTCTGTCGCCATTCTTTGGAACTCCATCCCACAGTCTCTTCGCCTTGCTCCCACGCTTGCCTTCTTCAAGGCACATCTCAAAACCCTCCTCTTCAACCGTGCCTTCAACCCACCCTCCTATCCCTACCCTCCCTGCCTTCCACACACCCTGATCCCAACCCCCTGCTTGCATCCAAATCCCGACTGTCCAGCGGCTTGGTATGTTCTCCCGACGTGAGAGGCGCTATACAAATGTAATTTGTTGTTGTTGTTGAAGTTGCAATTCCAGCTACATGATCGAACATGCCAGCTCTCAGGTTTACCTGGGCTGTGCACATCTGCATCTAAAACCTGACGTTCCACCTAGTTTTATCCTCTAAATCTATAAAATGTTTTAAAATTTTATGAGTCAGCAGAGATTATCTTACATTAACTCTTAAGGACCAGGTCAGCATGTAAAGTAACTCCCCAGTAGGTTAGTATCTCCATTGCTGATAATGTCACCAATACATCCACATACTTGAGAATAAGCAGTGGCACTGCCAGAGGTAAAAGGGCACATAAGTACAGCAAAGAATACATTCACAACTTTTGCTTCTGATTTCAAGAAATAAAATATTTCATTCATTTGCACTCTACTGCTATTCATGTGTTTTTTAAATGTTTTAAAATTAAAGCATGATATTAATTCATTTCAATAGTGTGAAAGAATTGGAGGAAAATAGGCAGTCAAATTTTATGAATAATATTTTTTTCTTCCCTGTTTCCCTCCCGCACCTCCCCTTTGCAGGGCAATCGACATCAAATTGGAAAAGAAATACGCCTTGTTCTCCTTGTGGGAGGTTCTGCTGGTGTCAGTCTTCTGCATGCTTCTCATCTCACCAACTACAACCTAGCTGGTTTGGAAGTTAGCATGCTCCTCCAACTGCATGCATCTCCCCTCAACTACACTGTGCAGAATGTAACAAGATAAGATTATTGTAGCATACTTTACTAGATAGACAGACCTATCCTTTTAATATTTGGAGGGGGTTCTCCACCATGACATGGTTGAGGCATGAGCAGCATTGCAATGAGTCGCTGATCTGTATGGAATGTTTTTTTAACGGCATCAGTAACCGTGGACTTAAAGAAAATGCCAGGACCTCCGAGCCACCCACCGACCGCCCATCCATCCAACACATTTTCTCTAGTAAATAAATGTTCCGCCCCAGAGGCCTTTGAAGTGAATTCATTGTGACATATTTTTAAATACTGTGTATTTACATGTAAAATGTTTCAATAACTGTCAGAAATTGTTTGCACGTTGATAGATTAAAGCTCTTTTCGAATGCAAAAAGGTACATTGATTTTTGCACAAAGTTGGACTGTGCTATTCTATGGCAATGCACAGAATGTAGCAAAGGATGGCAATGTATTTGTAATGCTCTTTGTGTGCCTGTGTGTATATGTCTTCTTTTGTTACATTGGTGCACCCTGTTTAAGTCCTGGCCACTGTGATAATGTTAGCTGTTAAATCACTATTCTGAATCAAGCAGATGGTATTTCCTTTGTTGACCAGCTCATGTGAAGTCCCAGTTTCTTGATTTAACAAGCAGTTTTAACAACTCTTCACTTAACGTTTCATTCAATTTTTGGGAGCACATGGTTATCCATTTATAATGTTTAAGAATGACTAACTTCCAACAATTCCTATATTAACCTTAACCAAGTGCATTTGATCTCCTTGTTGTGCTATGTCTGGACTCCTGTGTGACCGTTGCCTTATGATGATTCTTTCCACATATGTTAGTTAGGTGGTTTCAGCCCATTTACACTGGAGGCCCTCAGTGAGATGCTTCCATTACTAGCCTCTGTGCTGCCTGTGATGCTGCATTGAGAGAACAATTGGACTAGCGTGCAAAACTACCCGCTTTCCCCTGATTTAAGGCTGAAGTAAGACAGCTTGTGTATATTTCGAGAGCTCAGCATTGTCACTCACTTTGAAATGTCTCCTTGTAACATGAACATTGCTATGGTTGTGGTTTGCTGGTGTCTATTGAAGCACCAACAGTAAAACCATTGACTCGAGGAATAAAGGGTCCTGCTCTATTGAAAACTCTATCTCGGACATGCTGCCATGAGACACCCTTAGCAGAGACCATGTACCCTCCTGTGCTGGAGGGAAATTGGACTTGGAAGTCCCCAACTGATCTTCTGATGGTCAATTATCAGAGAGTGTGGTCCTATCCCAGAAGATCTTGCTCTCTTGGAAATACATGGCTTGAGGAGACCATGAATTGGAGAAAAATCAGGAGAAAAGGCACCGTGAGGGTAAAAAGAAGGCTGGTTTGATGTACTGTGATAATTTTACTCAGTGTTACCAGTTGACAGATTGGGTCAGAAGTGAGTCATGGAATTGTAGCACAGAAACAGGCCATCTCTGGCCCATGAGTTGGAGCCTATTGACTATTCCACAAAACATTACGTTTGAAGGACTTAAGCATTCAGAGCACAAACCTTAAAGTGGCCAAGTCAAAGTGGCATGACTTTTATGAATGCTTTTGAAGACATCTCATGACAACTGCAACTCTTCGTTTTCAAATGCTGAAATTAATTTCTATGATTTGCAGAGTGATAAAGGATGTTGGGAAAAGTCTATGATTTCCTATGTCTAATCTCTCGCCTATAGGAAATTTTTTACTAATAAGAAATAGAGTAAAGATAATACACAAAAAAAATACAAATTAAGAAAAAATTCAAATGTTTCCTATTTTCCAAATGATATTTTTTCCGATTTTTATTTTCAGGCAGGATGCAGTGGAAACCTCCACCAAGGATCCCCAAAACACTCCCTACAGTATCACCATCTGCAACTATGCCTATCAGACGCTCCATCTCCTGCCCTCGTTCATTCGCTACCTTGGGAGGACAATCCGCCTTACCAGAGCCTCGGGCATTTTCTGCCAAATTCACAGCCCTCACGTCCAGAACCCCTTCCGGCGTGAGGTCTCAGTCTCTCAATCGTAACACAACCGCACAGCGAGTGCTTCAGAGTAGCAGCCTGGGCACTGTCCATTCTGTAGCGGTAAGTAGTAGCCTTCGTAAAATGCTAAATAGCCCATGAATACAGCTAACTAGAATCAAAGACTATGTCCTGTCATGTGCTTAATTTAGATGTCTCTTGTCTATCTCAGTACAGTTTTTTTAATAAAAGAAACAAGTGGTTGATACAGCTTGTATGTGTACCATTTTAGAATGTGTAAAACATGAGCAAAAACCTACTCATTGTTTCAAGGCTGATATGTTGCAGAACGAGTGTTTTGCTTTCTAAAATTTTACATGTTGGAATTATCCCCCCTACAAAGAAAAGGGGTCTATTTGTGAGACATTGCTGTGTGAAAAATTGCCTGCAAGATATGTAGTCGCTAGACTAAATCGACAGAACACTACAGTAAATCTTTGAAGTGCTTTGAGACATTTTGACAATGTGGTAAAGTGCAATATCAAATGCAAGGGATTATACATTTCCTGTTTGCTAAATCTACCAAACATTTTCTTCTTTGCTCTTGGCAATCTGTAAATTATGTATGCTTGAATAAGCATGCTCGTAAAAGCTGACTTAGTATCCTAATTCAAAGACCTTGAAATGAATTTAACTAAAGTTACTAAATGCATCCCCGTCTTCAGATATTGATTTCCTCTCACAAATAGGCACATCACGAAAGCCACTACTACTCATTGACTAATCTGTATGTGATACTGTACCAGTCAACAAAAAGCTAATGGCATGTTCTCACCTTTATTACATCTTATATAAAGAAATAACATGGTGCTTTTTCTTTACATAAACTCTGTACGCATATCAGCAAAGTATATTCCACTTTAACCTCAACACCTGTATTTTCCTATAGTTCAGGAATGAGCATATTGGGTCACAATACGGTTAAATTGTATGTGGCTGTTCTTTGAAAATTACTAATATACGAGACTAGATTCTACATGTAGTCCTTTACCATTGACCAGATATCTAGTTACACCCCTGAATGTGTACCTTTTAATTGTTCATTTGGATAAATTTCTAAGCGTTCGTACCCAGCCTGATCCTCCTCCTGAGGAAGAATGCTGACTGGATCCATTCTTATCTTGTTTTTAAAAGTTGTTCATAAATATAAGTATAAATATAAACAATAGCGCCATTGTGGACTCGTCTAAATTTGCTTTCCTTCTAATTGTGAGTTGTGGTGGGCAAATGCAGTTAAACCACTCAAACTAGTTTTAAATAACTACGGAGACTGAAGTCCATAGAACACGTTTTCAATGGAATACAATAGTATTTGTATTGTACAAAATAACACACAGTTTATTCACTCAGCTCTGGCCATGCGCTGCTGCGACTAAAAAGGGCTTTATTAATAGGGCTGGAAAATGTTTGTCATTCACACCTCATAAAACACTTATTAATGTTCTTAAAGTTTTTAAAAGTTAAATATCATGAAATCCCCAATCACCAGTGCTCAGCATGTCTCTGATCTGAATGTTTTTGTTGGCTGTTTAGGTTATGATCCATAAACTCAAATTAATGTATTTTTATTCTTCCATATTTTTCCTTTAGGGAGTTTCCTTTTTGAATTTCAGAACAAATGAGCAGGAAGAAGAGCTGACAAAACAGAGTCTGATTTCCCTCAACGAGCTGACAATCAGGTTCCCTGGAAAAACAGTCGAAGAGTCTGAACTGCTGCTGGATGATGTTAGTGTTCAATGCATGTTGATTCAGGTTGAGTCTCACTGTCCTAACTCTGGGGAAGCAAAGTGCTGGGAGCACTATTCAAATCCATCATTCATTCATTCTTTCATTCCAAAGGCAGCTTGCCTGATAGCAAACACATCAAGGAAACTATTCCACCAAAACTTGTCTTCGTTCAAAAGAATAGTTCGGCATCACATTAAAAATGTTAAAAAACAAATGTTCCTTTAATCAGGATGAATGGGAAGAGTGTGCCCATTTAGAGACATTTTATGCTTGTTTAAAAATAAATACCTGGGGCTCCTGATGGCTGGGTGAGTAAAGGCACCATTTGATATGATACCAAGTCTGTGCTGAATTAGCTGATCTCAGTTGAGAGTGTTACGGTCACTGCAGGAAATACTAGTATCTCTGGGCTAGAAAGGATAAATCAGCTGAGGATTTAATTATGATCACTAGACAGTAACTTTTGCTGGTGTGTGTGTGTGAGAGAAACACAATAGGGCTGAGATATGATGCTCCCACTGCTGAGCAGCCTGCAGGCATTCACTAAATACTCTCAAAGGTAAAGAATGGCCAATTGGGTGAGGTACCAGAGGGTTATTATCAACTATGGAATTATGCCCAAGTATGAATCAGTGCTTCAGGAGAGGAGGGGGAAAGAAAAAAAAGGCAATCATATTAGATGTCGTTGCCTCCTTGTTTATGTCAGTGTTGAGATATATAACATAATTGCACTTTTAAATGTCCGCCTGTGCAGATAATGAACCTTCGGAATATTGTTGGACTTTCTTTGTAGAGGGTCCTGTCCTTCAATGTATCTGATTTTAATTCAGTCCTTTTGTAGCTTTTTGAACTGAATGCAACTATCTGAGAGACAACCACTTTAATTAGCAGTAATGATGAGTAAAACATTGTGGAAAATTCCAATTTGATGTAAAGGCCAAGCGCTTTGAAATTAAACCTTTTATCATACCTTCCTCTGAAGAAACAAAGAAGAGTGAAGAATTTTTCACATAACAATTCTATTCGGATGAACTCAAAAGGATTGGCAAGATCAAAGCATTGATATCAAAGGGCTTATGTCTTAAAACACCATTCAATTATTTTCTGTCTTTCTTCCTGTAATTCTTAAAGTAGCATAGTATAAGGACAAGTAGGTTTTTTAATGCACTTATGAATATGTTCAATCTTTTCGTCACCCGATTGACTCTTGGACAGAATACCTACTATTTTCAGGGGTATGTTTGAAACACTGTTAGTGAAAAGGTTGAAGGGACAGCATTTTCTTCAAGGAATCAACACTACAGCTGGTATGTTCCTCCTTTAGAAAAAAAGCTTTCAGTTTGGGAAACATCTTGCTTTACAAAATCCTTGCAATTCTACATGATCACTCCGCTATCTCTCCCTTCAGGCTGCTGAGACTCTCGTCCATGCCTTTATTACTTCCACACTTGACTATGCTAACTCCCTGCTCGCCAGACTTCCCAACACTTCCCTCCACAAGCTGCAGATTATTCAGAACTCTGCAGCTCATGCCCTCTTCTGCACTAAACAATCACCCTCGCCTGGCTTCACTGGCTCCCCATCCCCCAGAGGATCAAGTTCAAAATCCTTGACCTCAATTTTAAAAGCCTCCATGGTCTTCTCCATACCTTTATCAACCTCTCCGCTCCCTCTGCTCAGCAGGCACTTGCCTGCTCCACGTATCCTGCCCTGCCCGCTCCACCATCAGCATTCAGCCCTTTGCTTCCTGCCCCGCACTTTCTGGAACTCCTTCCCAGAACCCTTCCATGTCGCTCCCTCCCTTGCCTCCTTCAAGGCCTGTCTCAAGACCTTCCTGTTCGACCATGCCTTTAGTCATCTTCCCATCCCCACCACCTTTGTCCTTCACCCTTCTTGATTCCAACCCCTAGCTCAGGTGCAAACCCTTTACTGTCCAGCGCCTTGGGACGTCCGCCTGATGTGAAAGGCGCTATATAAATGTAATTTATTGTCGTTGCTGTTACACGATCTTCCAGCTTCTGCAGTTCTGTAGTGTACTGCTCAATGTCTCTTCCAAGGAATGTACGAGAGTGTGTTTTCTGTTGTTGAGGACATTAAGCTTGTCCTGTGAATTTTTAAAAATGCTGCTGAAAGGCTGATTCAGCAGGACTGCCTGATACTAATCTTAAACAATAACATTTAAAAAGCTCACTCCTGCTAGTTATACTTCACATCAACTCACTTTTCAAACTGCCGGTATATTGGAGTGTTTTAAATGTAAAGTGATTGAATGGACAAAATTTTTTTGTTAACTGTCCTATTAAGCATTTAATAATAATAATCCTTGCATTTGATATAGCGCTTTTCACGTCTTCTAGATGTCTCAAAGCGCTTCACAGAATATACTGTAAAGTGAATTGACTGTGTATTTGTGGGCGAAATGCGGCAGCCTATTGCGCACAGCAATGTTCTACAAACAGTCGTGGATTGAAAATGACCAATTTATTATTATTTTGTTTTTGGAGGGATTATTATTAGGCGTGTGGAGTAAGGAAACTTGCCCAAGGTTTCGCCCTACCTGGAATTGAACCCAGGTGTCTTGCTTACAAGGCGAGTGCTCTAACCACTGAGCTACAGGACTCCACTTTGCCCTTCAGCTCAAGTAATGTATCTGTGGTCTTTGTTCTGGGTTTCATTAAGAAGGAAAAGCATTCTTTACTGGTCTGGAATGTTTACTTGCTTGATAATGTCAGACTTCGAACAGTGTGATTTATAGTTTAGCAAAAGAACAATCGAGCTGGGTTAACTTTGCATTAATTCCAATGCTTTTGCCAACCGAACTTTGGTATATGGGTAACTCAAAGTGCATATAACAGAGCAGCATGCTGCAGCGAACCACCATATATTAAGTGGTAACATGTGGATTTATACTCCCGGCTTCTGAACACAGTGTGATCCCACTCTCAGTAGTCAGTGAGGGAAAGAAAATTGGCAGAACGTCTCCACCGTACAGTTATCTGGAGAATTGAATTATTTTCAGAGCCCTGGGAATAGGCGGTTGCCCATCTCTTAGCAAAGGATACTGCTTGACTGAGCGGAAACAAAGAAGGGGAAAAAATAAAATAATCACCTTACTAATGACATAGTAAATAAAATCTCCAAACATAGTTATTTATGTGAACACCATTTTGTTAATGGTCTGTAATTCTGTGTCCATTATCCCTGAAATAACACCACCTTGTGGTAATGTTTCTTAATAACACACTTGCAGGCAGGCAAGCAGGCAGGCAATGGCAATGTTTGCAAATTGTATATGTGTAGGAGAAATACACCTGATGGCTAAATAACCCCTGCTGTTCAGCGAAATGTGCCATTTGATTTGTTTTGCATTGCGCTGCAGTAAAAGGCAGGTTGCGTAGCAAATTGAAATTTATTAGGAGGACTCTGTTGCAAATTCCTCTCTGCACTCTTAAACTATCAATTCTTAAATTACCTTTTAAATAAGAATAGAACGGCCATTTAAAATTATCCTCAGGCTTCTTCTCTCGGCTGAATTGTCTGGTTGTGTGTGGAGATTCTAATCAGAGGGGTTCCAGCTCAATCATGTCTCCTCAGAGGGTCAGTGAAGGACGAGAGTGTGGATGTGCAGGGAGGAAGCGGTTGGAATTAAACATTGACTTTACCACCTCAAATTTGACTGCTGTGCACACACAATAATTAGGTGGCTGGGAGATTAGAGCCTGTACATTATTCCTCGGACATTGATTTAATCGAGTGGTACTTTATTTTAGCAGGAGCACTTTTGCGGTGTATTTTATGGCTAGTCAGAACAGCTTGACTGTACTCTGGGAGATTTTTATAGTGATCATGGTGATAAAAACATGTGCAAATAAATGCCCAAGGCTATCCTCAATGCTGACTTTTTTAAAAAAAAGGAAAATAAAGTTTTGATTACCCTACAAACAAGATGAAAGTTTGATTTTTAAGTTATAAGAGCATTTGGTACACTTTTGCAACTTTTCCTAATCATTATTTTAATGGTTAACAGTTTTTGGTTTGTTGCAAATTATTCTTGCCTGTAACTTTCCTTATTCTCTCTACAGATATTGGACAACTGGAAGTATCACAAATCAAAAGTAGCTTCGTACTGGCTGGTCAAACTGGATTCCATCAAGCAGCGTAAGGTAAGTGACTATTTTCCTTTTACAGGGTGGTTGCAAAGTCTTGTTACCTTATTTTTTTTCACATAGTACACTGACCAACAACTGAAACGTGTGGAAGAATGATGAGAATTGTATTTAGAAGTATTTAATTGTATTCAGTACAAGTTTAACTTTTATTTAGACGTCCAGAGGTTCGGTGTGAGCACCGTTGTTTTCATGGCAGATAGTGATCCATCACCATGTACGGTGCGACATCGGCTATGATACGGAGTGAGGGACGAGGAAGAAACTGGTATCAGACAATGTTACACTTAACTCATCTGCAACAGAAAATAAAAATTAATTGTAAGAGAAAAAACAAGTGGGTAACAGGACTTTGTGAACACCCTGTAGATCAATAATACTGGCACTGTTGATTGCCACAGATGTCATTTTAACTGAGGGTCCGACACAGGATTTTATATGAAATAGTCTGTTCAGTTAATGTTGCAAATGCAAAAATATTCAATTTCCTCTGTAGATTCCTGCGATTCTACTTTTAACCATCGGTAAATAGATGCAAATTATTTTTATACTTGCTTTTGTTAGAAAACACCGGCATGCTCTGTGAGCTTGACATTGGGGTTAATTTGTCGATTCATTATCCCCTGCTGCACAGTGTATTCACACACAAAAAAAAACAGGTTATCTCCCCAGGGACACAAACTTCCAGCAGCTTCTGCTTATGTGTGAAAGACTCGCACGTAATGTGCAACCCAGGAGTGCGCTGGAGAGAGTGAGTTATGACATTTTTTTCGTGTGACTGAGAAAACACCTGGAACCGGCTGTGGTTAGAAAGATGCTCTGTTTGTCTGTAAGATTAAGCTTCATGTAGAGCCATAAGCATGTCTTTAAAAGGATTCTGGAAGCCTGCCAGCCCTTTACATGTGTGAATGATGAGGTTGGATTTTCACATGTGTGCCTGCAGGCGGTGAGATCACCAGTCTGTCTGTAGAATAAATACAGACAACGTGTGCAGAAAAAGTTTATAAAAATAAGCAACCCAGTGACCGACATCAGGGTATGGAATGCCGAAGTGCAGTCAAATTAAGTCCCTTGGTGTCACAAGTATTCTTTGGCTTAAAGTAATTGATTCCCAGTCAGGCAGTTATTGATGGTAAGTTTTCTCTATTTGTGGTGGACGCCATTAATCCGTTTTTAAAGAACAGTTTCTTACGTGAGGCAGTTCAGAGGATTGATAGTGCCATCCAACATGCTAGGGAGTAACACTGTACAACAACAACAAATTGCATATATATAGCGCCTTTCACTTTGGGATCAATAGTGGAAATCTGTTCTTTCTGTAGTTAGAAAACACAAAATGACCATGGTCAGAGTGGAGGAGTGCAGAGGGAATACTTAAACATTGAAGTACTTATAATGTTATAACCAACAGCCTGGATATCGATTCTTTTACATTTCATAATTTATTTTTTAATGGTTAATGTCAGTTTTCTTTATAATGAGCTAATGGTTCATTTGAAGTGCAAGTCAGTTTTGTCTTGACTGTCCTCTTAACAGGAGGCGGTAGACACCAAATTGTTTTAATGCTTTTAACCCTTATGGTGAATTCTGCCACTCACCAAAAGCAACCAGTTTAACCTCCCCCAGTTTTGCATGCTAAATAAGTTGGTTCACTGAAGCAGTGAACGAAATTTCTGCGGTTAAGCCAGGAGAACATCCTTTGTTATTTAAGATGAATTCCTTTTCAGATTAAGATCAACAACTTGCATTTATATAGCGCCCTTCGCTCGGGGTAGCATCCGGAATGCTTGGATTAGTTCGGCTGAAGAAGGCTCTTTGGTCCATCTGATCTTATTCTTCCAGAATACCCACCCTACTGTTCTCCCATCACAACATCAAGTTGTTTTTTTTAAACGAGTCCAGTGTCCTGGCCTAAACCTACCTTCCTGGCAACCTGCCGTTACTTATCCTCTGGGTAAAGAAAACTTCCTGGTATCTGCCCTGAAATTCCCCATTAATTCTCAGTGAAAGTCAAAGGAAGTTATGCAAGTCTTCTGTATTGATCAGAACAGCATGAAACCTTGGAAATTATCACCTCGGACTCCAGGTTTGTCTTTTTTTTAAATGTAAGGACAGTTCGGAAGCAGTTCACACGCTCTCTGCTGTCCCACACATCACTATTATTTATAGTGATAGCATCTTGCCTCAGTGCTTTTGCGAGTCTGGCTGGCATCGTGGTTGCCTATTTTAGGACAAGACGATTTGTATTATGCTCTATAACTTCCAGGGAAGGGTTAATTTCTAGGAACCCATTTCATAGCATTCTGTGTTACTGGAGTCAGAGAGTCTGTTCAGTACAGTAATTGAGCCGGGGTTGAGCGCTGCTGGCCCATTCATCAATTCCCGTTGACAATAGAACTAGCCAGCCAAATGAAAGATAAAATCCATTCTTTGTTCACCATCCTTCACGCACTGCTGGAATATCAGGCTCCTGCCAGCCCTGCTGGGCAACATTTGCCAAGGTAAATTTACGTCATATGTCACAGCCATGGAGTCATTGCTTCGTGAATCTCTCCCGCACCGGATAAAGTCTACCCAGGGCTCACCATTTTTTTTCCCCCCTGTTTGCCTTGCTTTCTGCAGATCAACCTTTCATTTTGTTTGCTAGTCAGCAGATGAAAATTGACATTTGTGGATTTCTGCTTTTATTGCAGTGTGTCAATAGGAATACAGTACTGGAGTATACGAAATATTTACCATCTTGCATTAATCAGCTTTCTGTAAAATTAAAGGTCACTCAACTTCTTATTGCTTCTTTGGGTCAGACAATACAATACAAATTTTACATTAGTATAGCGCCTTTTACGTCGGGAAGACGTCCCAGGGTGCTGACCACATCTTGTGGACAGTGCAGTATTTGCAGAATAACCACTTTGATGTGACCACATACTTTTATAACCCGTGCTGGTCGGGCGGACAGCTCACAGAGTAACCTTATCTAATTGCAGATAGTGCCCTCAATTATGAAATTAACCACCAGTAAAAAGATGATTCTGTAATCCTTATAAAAAGGCAATCCATGTTTCAGCCCATCCCATATTTTAGTCCAACCTGCACTTTAGACGCTCTTATTACCTAATTTACATTTTGGTAGATCAGTACATGGCAATAATAAAACACTGTCCATACTTTTGAGCCCCTGTTGGGAGTAAAGAAACACTCTTGATGGATATTGGAAGCTCAGTGTGAAGAAATTACCTTCTTGGTGGACTCAACAGCCTGACGAACACAAAAGCTGTATTTTCTAAGATCTAAGACATTGTAAGATCACACATGTTGAAATTGTTATCATGCAAAAATATGCAACAAATTCCCTTCTCTGTCTGCTGCCTAAGGGCATTGTCTCCCCAGTATTGGTAAGAGGTTAGGATGTTTTAAAACGTTACTGTAATTGTTCACCTCCCCACCTACTCCACCGGGATGACAATGCCGCTGGAGTGGGTGGGGAGGTGAACAATTACAGTTAAACAAAGATAAAGGCCATGGGGCACATTTTTATGAGGATATTAACCAGGCATCAGTTCTGGTTCACTGCAAAGCAGACAGGGTCTGTGCACAAGTTGCTTAGCTTCCTGAGTGCAACATCTGGAAGCTGTATAGGAGCTAGTAAAGTTTAATATGCTGTTGAAATGGTATCAAGAGCACGGAAGATTGTGCAAGTAGAACTCTTGATTTCCACAGCTAGCTGAAACTCCTGTAGCAGTAAGGACTGTATATATTTAATGGACACTGCTTGCAGAGTGCCTGGTCCATTTTTGAGTTGTGTGAAGTCAAAGGGCTTTTATCATCTTGTGAAATATCTTGGAAGAACAGCTGTTCATAGAGTGAAGTGATCAGTCCTGCAATGTTGAATATAAATTGAGAATAAAAAGCACAATGCTGCTTCAAATGTACAGTATAATGTTTCGTGGCACATTGCATCCTGGCTGATTAACAGTGGGGCCATTGAATATCACCAGAAGTAGCACTTTTAAGTGAACAACTTCCAGGTTTTTCCTCTATTTTGGCAGCTAGGTACCCTGCACGCTTGGAAACTTATCACACAATACTTAAGAATCTGCAAACAAAACTACTGAGAGTTCCAGATATCTAGAGTTTCCATGTGTCTGGTTTGGAATGCACTTTTTCTCTTCAGAACAGAGGCACTCCAATTACGTCATTTAGTTACAGGTTGGCAAGAGCCAAGGCTTAGGGGGTCCAGAATGTGAACTGGGGGAACTGATGCAGTTTAATGAAGTAGGGTGTTTCAAGCACACACTTTCCAATTTTTCCTTCCGTGATACTATTTCAAATCTTAATTTTATGAAGCAAAGTCAAAACTGGTTTCTCTCCAAAGCAAAACAGGTGCGATTACATTGCCACCTGATTTCCCCTCCTGTCTCCCCTTCAAAGGGATAGAGAAAGCAAAACTAATGTGATAGCCCACTTCCCTGGCCTGTGTTCATTTTACACTGATATACTGAGGTTGTAAAATGACCACCAAGACGCATAACGTTACCTGTGCCACATAAAGGAAGGAATAATGGATAGCTGGGAGTGACCACAAGATTGTAATCTAATCAAAAGACTATCAGGTTACATCATAAACCACCAGAGCGAAGCTTGAGTATTTTATAACCATCATTTGAACTCCCAAGATTTGATTACTGCCTTGAAATCACCCGGGGTATCTGTTGCTTTTTAATATTGTTTGTGTTATGGGCCGTTTTTTTATTGTTTTGGGCTCACTGCTGTTGATTCTTTGCGCTGGCTGTGTGCTGACATTCACGCTGAAACATTAATAAGTGTGACATTAGGGTGCAAGTTTATAGGCGATTTCTGGGAATACCAGTACATCTGAGGATCATGTACTGTAGTGCACTAGTAGCAGAAAACTTTGCATCACCAAGGTCTGGTGCAGCAAATCCAACTCTTAAAAGCAGAAGGAGTGAAGCCTATTCAAATACTTGACTGCATCACCACTGTTATGGAAGGGTTATGGCTGTATCATAACATTTACAAAGTGCACTCACATTTCAGTGTTTGTATGTCACATGCTGTTTAACAGTGAACACAGGAAAAATAATTCCTCAGAATATTGTACATTGTACAATCTAAACTTGTTGTCTGAAGACTTCTCTTCAGTATGGCAAAGGCTGGACTTATTCTTAGATTAGGTGATTCCAGTAAAGTCTTTCGGCGGCCCATAATATGACATTGAAATGTCACCCAGCAAAGATTTGAGTATTTTATAGTTTTGTAGTGTTCCTCAATATTAATAACAAATATATATATATTGTATATATGCCATGCAGCTGGAAGTGTGCAGAGAATATTACAGTTCTGCCTGTGCACATATGTCACTGAAAACTGAAGCCACTCACAGCAAACAGATTCTAATTACAAGGTATTCATTTTCCCATTTGGTTGAGTGCAATTCCATATCAAGTACCAAGAAAAAATTCAGTTCTCAGCACAACAGGTAGCTCAGAATAACATTGCAAGCATGGAGGCCATGGAGTTAAATCCTACAACACTATACTTACGTGGACTGCAGCAATGCCACCAAAAGCAACTTTGATCGTTTGAAGCAAACGCCCTTCACAAAAGAAGTCTATTACTGAATCACTGATAGGACATAATAACAGGGATTTAGCATTTACTGTACATGCATTAGCAGTGCTCAAGGATTGATTATTTAAGTAAGCCAATGGCAAGTTTTTCTCTTTTCCATGTATACGTGGCAGAGGGCGAAACCTTGGGCAAGTTTCCTTACTCCACACAGAGCCTAATAATAATCCCTCCAAAACCAAAAACAATAATAAATTGGTCATTTTCGGTCTACGACTGTTTGTGGGACATTGCTGTGCGCAATTGGCTGCCGCGTTCGCCCACAAATATACAGTCAATTCACTTTACAGTGTGTTCTGTGAAGCGCTTTGGGACGTCCTCCCGACGTGAAAAGCGCTATATCAAATGCAAGGATTATTATTATTATTATTACGTAGACACAACAGTGATTACTGTATAATCATTGATAAATTATAAGTTTATAGAATGACAACAGTATTCACTAAAGTTGCATCTTATTTTTGTGATGGCTATTAGTCTTTTGATAACTCTTAATTATAAAACTTACGATAACCAAAAAATACACATAAATGATTCTCTCCCCTCTATCTGTGATTTGATCTGTTTTTAGTATCTGAGTATCTGTCATAACTTCTGCTTCTGTTGAGACCTTGTAATCTCTCTGCTCTACTCTATTGCCACAGCCTACCAGCTTTGCCTACACCGATTGCTGGGTCTATTCAGTTTTGTCATGTTTTTGCTCTGTCCTTCTCTGTGTCCTCACATTTTCGGACTCCATGACCAAGTTGCCTGCTTTCTACCTAGGCTTAGTTTTAGGAGGAATTCTGTCCCTCTGAAAGAAAAAATCAACCCCTTTCTTGTGCTGATGTGAACAATATTGAGAGTGTCTGAGAGAGGCTGTATGAAAATTAATTCTCTCCAGCCCCCATCTGTTCCCATGCAGAACTGGGATGGCAGTAATGAAGGGGAAAATGAGCACACAAAAATAAAGCAAGATCAACACTTTTTGCTTGTATAACTGAGTGAGATTACTTAATTAGATACGCAGTGTGTAATCTGAAAATGAGTGGTTAAATGCAGTGGCATGTTATTCCTCTATTTAATGTTAATGATATACTTACTCAGACTTGAAGAGAAGCTAATGAGAGGATAATCAAACCTAATTGTAAGCATTAAACTGTTTTGCTGTCTCTCTGAACTTGTTTGGCAGGTTTTGGACATAGTAAGAACAAATGTCCGCTCCATCCTGCAGCGAGTGTGGAAGATTCACGATGTGGACAGTTTACGGTTATATCGGATATTTAATCGGGTTTTTAACCGCTTGCTCTGGAGCCACGGGCAAGGACTATGGAACTGTTTCTCCAGTTCAGGGTAGGTGTCAGCAGCATAGCAGTGTTCCAAGGGTCTCATGTAAACATTGTGTTGATATGAAGCAGTCCGTCTGGACAGAGAAAATTATTGAGGTGTATGTATACTTACTAGAAAAATAGAACCCATTCAAGGTCAAATACATGTGATGACGGGAATCAGTGAGTGGAAATTTCTCATGTTTTGATAAACTATTTGGATTAAATTGGACAAAATGTGTGTGTGTGTGTGTGTGTGTGTGGGTGGGGTGGGGACAAGCTTAAAACCAAATCCTTTTGCAATGTACCTTTTGAAATCTGGCATTCCTAAACTCTTAACTCCCTAGAAAAACCTCTGACTTCTTCTGTTGTGTTGACCATAGAGTGGGGAGAGCTGCTAATTATCCCGCTTGGACTAGCTATTACATTAGTAAGTGCTGTGTTTAGCAATTTGGAAACATAAAACAGACACCACAATATTCAGGATTTTTGGAGTAGAAGTCTGTTTTTTTCTCCCATTCAATTTTTTGAGACGGAGATAGTAGTTAGTGTGGTTTTCGGTAGACTTTCGCCCAAAGCAGAGAAATCATCATCTCACCCCTAGACCATCGGAATAATCGGGAGGGTAAGTAATCAAGACATGGATATTGGTGTTCCTCTGTAGATAAGTCACCCCAAAATACTTTGTTTTTGGTCCTTTCCTTATTCGTTTGTGGATTTATTCCATCAAATACTGTGTATGAGTCACCTGGGCACAGTTCTGTGCCTCATCATGACAACTAAGCTGAGAGTTCAGAGCAATAATACCTGCATTTCCTATTGACTTATTATGTGTAGTGGGGAGGGGAGAGAGAGGAGAAATTTCACCCAGAGGCTGCACACAGCCCTCTGATTTACATGGCGTTCCACCATTACACCCAGATCACATTACACTGCGGTCTTTTAAAGCTAAAAGATGATTAAAACAAATCCATTAACTGAAAGCTTGAGAGCAGACACCGAAACCTCCAAATGAATTTCATCTGGCATCGGATGCCTTAATTTATAATTGCCAGCACTCTGGCACATCTTTACCTAAAAATAAACTCCTCAGAGTGACAGAAATGTTCAGACATGTTCAATTCTGTTTTATCTGACAAAATCTAGGAGAGTTCCCTGGAAAATGTGGGTCTTCATTTCTGACATCTGCATTGTATTAATATTTTTATATAGCAAATGGATGTGGATTTTAAGGGTGCCAGTGAAGATGCTCTTTGAAGAAATTAATTTTTCACTATTCACTCTCCAACTTTTCCTTCTGAAAAAAGCTTATTTTCAGTAAAGAGCAAGAATCCCACAGTATACAAAACAAGAGCATTTGGCAAATGAGCAATTGGCCTGTTTACCTCCACTTATCCACTGTCATTGAATTCTCTACAACTGTTTTGTTAAATGTCTCAACAAAAGAACCCTTATGTGCCAATTCAGCTACTAAACTTCACCATGATATTTCTGAGGTGTCCCCATTGTTCAATTGATCAACCAAATCAGATATTGGATGAAATGTTACAATTCTTAGTGTCTTCAGAGGCAAGTGTGTACAAAGGCACAAAAGTGACATTTTATTGCAGTCATAAGCATTCTTAGTGGGCTGTGTAAATACTGTGAATTCAGACCTGTGCAAACTCTTAAGTAAAAAGGAAGGAACTAGATAACAATTTGACAACGAAATCAATAAGAAATATAACAGACCGATAACAACCATCGTTTTTTGTTCACAAAATAAAAAAACAGGATATTTCCATTTTTTTTAGTGTCCCATTTTTTTCTGCCGAAAAAGGTAGACATCAGAGGAAACATGTTTTTAAACACAAAAAAGGTTAAATTTGGGGAATATCTAGAACAATAGTCCTTACAGGTAGATGAAGGTATGATTCTTTTTAAACTTCAGGATCATTCAGGTGGATAATAATGCCCTTTTGCGGTCCTGTCCATTCTTGTGTTATTTTCAGGGGGCAGGAAGGACCTTTGGCTGTGCAGTCTTGATGATATAAATGTTGGCTGGTGATTGGCTGGAAGTCACGTTCAGAATTATTATTCTCCATCCTTTAATAAAAGAAAGTTCAGAAAAATTGCTCATAAAAAGCATTTTCCATGGATATGAATCAGGCTTAACTTTTTTCAGACTTTTATCCCTTCCATTTGTCAGCATTGCATTGTAAACTCAGGTCACATGCTGTGGAGTTGGATTATCTGAACTGCTTTTAATAGCTTAAAGCCATGTGCTGTTTTGCCATAAGTGCCATTGTTATGACTGTGTTATTTTTGCAATGCTATTAAAGTGCTAGTCTGTAACACTGTGACATTTAACAGATAATACATGAGGCTATGTCTGTTTCTATGCCAACAGGACCTCCTGGGAAACAATTTTCAGCAAAAGCACAGAGGTGATCACTTCTCAGGAACTACAGTGTTGTCACAGACTGGTGCAGCTTTGCAAAGACTGCCTGCTAGTGGTTTACAGATTTGCAGCAGATTCCAGGGGTACCTTCCCCACTCTCAATGAGTGGGAAGAGAGCAGGTTAGACTATTTTACCCTACTCTTGTTTTACGAGGCATGCACAGAGTATTCATCATAGGTTTGGCAGACTTCTGCAAAAATAGCTTCGAGATGGAAAATCAGCCTATCTTTACTGGTCTGCGCTGACTTGTGGTTGTTTTGCATCTAAATATTTGGGAGTTGGGATACAAATTAAATCAAATTTGATATCCAAAATAAACACAGGAAAATCACATAAAACTAATTTTACATTTAAAGATAATATATAGCATGGGTAGCTTGTCCTGAGCTCAAAAAAGCCCTCCTTCACATCAGATGCTTGACCCGATGACAAGATAAGAGCATTAGCAGAGCTCTGGTAAGCGTATGTGTTTGATGTTTTGTTATTGCCTCCACATCTTCGTACTTGCCAGGCTATTTGTACCTGCACAATCTATAAATCTTTTATGTGGCCCTTCTCAGTATCTGTTCCTTGACTTATTAGCCTTCCCGTTTCTTTTCAGCAATAGCTCATTAATAAATCCTTTACATCACCCTACCACTGAAAATTCAGTCTTTAACATTGACTAAATTGAAGTGAAATTCTTTCCTGATATCCTCATTATTAATACTTACATTACAATGTTCCTTGCCAGCTTTCACTGCACACAATGTGTAGAACTTTCATAGCTGATTTCAGCCTTTGCCAAAGTTTTTTGGTCTATTGTGCACGACAATTGATAGAGTGGAATGGCATCAGAGATGGCTATTTAAATGAATTCAACAAATGCATCGTAAAAGCAGACATTTGGGAACAAATATTGTAATGCACAGAGGTTTCAGAGACCACTAAGGATTATGGATCTATTCCAAATCATTAGACAAACAAGAGCTGTAGATACATGCCTCCCCCCTTTCCCATGAATATCATAGTCCTAAATGTTGAGACATTTTAGATTCATTCTCACCTATTGCATTCTGACCCATTAGTTTACTTTGTATGAATACTACATTTACACTGTGACCATGATGATAAACTACTGTAATGGTGGTGCTTCACTTCCAAATGTGCAGTATAAATGGAAATTGAGCCAGTGACTGGAGCCCTGCTTCTACAGGAAGTGTTGTGAGGAGTAGTGTAATTTGCAGTGCAAATGCACGATTATGAGTTACACTGGGCTGTCTCTCCCACAAGGCCACTTGAAGCCTGGTCTGAGATCTCATGTGTTCCACTGAAATGCTCATTAATTTTAAACATTTCTGAGTGAGGTTTGAAACTTTTCAAAGTCCACTAATCTTCATTTCTTATTCAGCAATGCATTCTTTGTTTCAATCTTCTCCATCTGATTTAGGGGATTCCTCAAATGTAGATTCATAAAAACATAGATGCACATCTAAATACATGCATATATACATGCACAATGAACATCAATGAAGAAAAACATATGCTAGTATCAAACTAGTGGACAGTGAATAATTATAGTGTTTTGATTGAGACCATTTATGTTCCAGTTAGTGATTAGCCTTTCATTCTGTAATTTGATGAAAGAGTAAAAATATTTATCCCAGTGGCTCTATCGAAAGCTTTTCCTAACTCCTCTTAGCTGAACTGTACGTATTTTAAATGTTTTTCTATATCCTGTTTAAGAGGAATCTCACTTCTTCATATCCCTTGCTACTCCTAAATCCACACTGTTCCCTCCGTAGCTTATCTTGTGTAATTTTGCTTGGACTTGTATTTCTAAATTGCTACCACACACTTTCCTTAGTTCACTAAGAAAACTGATCCCTTATAATTGTTACCTTTCAGTTAACTTGGGAGGGTTTATTTCAAGTAATGAAGCCATGATCACGCTTGAGCAGTGAGTGGGCATTTACTCTGAATTTGAGTTTTTCCTAATTTTATGTACTGAGTAGAGTTTGTTCTCACTGCGTAATCTCAAATATATTGGCTCAAGCTCATCTCTTCCTGGATGTTTGCCATTTTTTGAAGCTGCCTATAATTTATTGGATTCCTGCAAAGGTTATCACTTCTACAGCTCAATCCTTATTGTTGAGTTATATCCGCTGGAATCCAACTCTTTTTGGTGGTGCAGTATTTGTGTTTATTCAGTCGGCAAACTTCATTTAAAATCACAAAAATATTTTTTTTAGGACAGCCTAAACCATAGGCCTATCAAGCCTTTTTTTTATTATTGTTCCTAACCCACCTAAACCTGCATGTCTCACAACCACTCTTTCTAGTAACTGGTAGTGCCGACCGTCCAGATGCACTGCAGTACTCCTTTCCAGTCCTGTACATTCCCATGTTTCGAAATCTCTCTCATCCTTTTGAAGTATTGGAACATTTAACATAATATATCTCTACCCCCCCCCCACCACCCCATCCAGTTATTTGGAATATCAGCCGTTTACCTGTGGAAAAAAAGCCATAATTTTCAGGAAGACAGTGTTTCGTACATCATTTTTAAAATTTGCTTTATTACACATTATGCAAATCATGTTGAATTGCATCACTGCAGAACTTTTGCCTAATTGTCATCGTTTCAATGACAGACATTTCACCTGTTTCGCCTGCCTGCCTAGGCATTCAAAGAGAGCAAAAGTACCCGTTCAATGAACATTGTTGGGATTCCTGTTTGTACTGCAGCTCAGAAAAATCTATTGTTCTTTGCATGCATCAAATTTACTTTCTCGACCCCTTCTGTACTATTCTTCCCCGCTGGCTTGGTTTGCTATTTTATTCAATTCTTGCACATCTTGCTGAGATAAGGTATTTCTTTCATCTTTCTCACTGTCTAGGAGAGCTCCTTTTGCTTTACCATGCTGTTTTACTTGGTTCTCCTCGTCACACCAATCTTTAATAATACCTAAAATTACCATCTTAAACTCATCCTGTTTGTGAATATAATGAGGTGTAAGAAAGAGCAAACATTGAATTGTGGAAGCAGAGCTCATTTACAATTTACCTTATATTTAAGACCAGTTTTGAACTGTGAAGTTCACAGCCAAGGTTGACATTCCAATACAGTACTGGGGGAAGTGCTGCATTATATGAACGGCTGTCATTGAGTGAAAAATGAATCCAAGCTCCTGCCTTCCTGTTCAGGTGGACGATAAAAATCCCATGGCAATGATTCAAAAAGAGAAAGGAGTTTTTTTTTGCTTTCCTGGCTAGCAACCCCCCCCCCCCAATTTAAAAATTAGTCATTCACTTCATGGCTGTTTGTGAGATATTGCTGTGCTCTATGAAGCTTGAGATATCATGACATTATAAGCCACTGTATCAAATGCAAGGATTATTATCAATATGTCTATGTACTTTCAATTGCTTACACGGTACTATTTATCCTCTTCGTGAGAAATGTTTTAACTTATCTGAGTTTCATTTTGAGCCCAATGTACATCCAAGCTCCTTTTAACTCCTCCAGCCTACACCTTGCACTAAAACAGTACTGGATTTATAATGTAATGCATTGTTGGCAACAACTTATAACTTTCCAGGTGGAATAGTGAATGTATCATTACTTGCACCAGGATTTTGTGGTCCCTAAACTACACGCCGGTGCAGAAATCTTATAAGATGAGAGACCGATAAGAGTTGAATTTCTTCATTTAGTTTGAATTTCCATTTGGTGTTCTTTATATTCATTCTCAGACTTGCATCGCAATTTTTTCTGCTCTCCCCCCCCCCCCCACCCCTTGAAGTTTAAGATCTTCCTCATCAGTCACAAAATCTTCACTGTAATCATTACTATGTTTAGTGTTAAGCTTCCACTTCGTAAAAAAAAGGGAAATTGGAGGTAGGAAATAAACCTTGCTGATTTTGAGCTTCTATTAAGCAAAAGTAAAAAAAAATCCACAGACTGATTCCAACTCAAATCTATCCATTGGAATTTTTTTTAAAAAAAAGCTGACGATTGAAAATAGCAGAAAATATTGTAAATGCACAGCGTGTCGAACAGCATCTGAAAGAGAAATTGAGGATAGTTTTAGGGTGTTATTCTTCAAAAGAATCTATCTTTCTCTTTCAGATGTTGACTGACCTGCTGCAAAATTCTTGCTCTATGTTGGTGTCTGTACAAAGACGTATTCATTATAACTTTACAAAATCATGTTGCACTCCCAATTTCTGTTGGTTGTTAGGCAGCAATATGAACAATCAAAGGAATTTTCAAGCTGGCAGTATCAGCCTTATTAATCATGGCAGAATGTGACCGTTGTGAATTTTTGCGACTAAACTACATTTTTATTAATCTTGCTAAAAAAAAGTTCATTTTTCACAATTTGCGTGCTGTGGCCGTTGAACAGATGTTTGAGTAAAATGGTTTCCCCCCCGTTGTCTCTTTCTGATTGGCAGCTACGACATTTTTCATGTATCATTTCATGTGACAAGCCAGTAGTTACCTGCTGTTTGAAATTAATGATGCCCCTTTTTTAAAACCAGCAAAAACTGCGCAGTGAAGCATTTCTGCCAAAACTAATTCATAAACGTTCAGCGCAAGCTAGCAGCAAATTAGAGGTGCGACAATTATCCATTTCCCTTGTGGTTGCTGGGTGAAAGGCTACACCCAATCTCACAATTATTCCTTTGGAAAGAGATTTGCCGATTAGTACTGCAACATTCCCATTCTCCTTTATACAAATCCAGGGTATCCAAGTTGATGCTCACAGTTCTCATGAGGTCATTGTGAAAGAGAGGACATTTGTACTTGTGGTATGCCATACGTTCATTGTCAGTTCAGCAGTAATTTTACACAATCCCTTTGTTGCTGGACAGGTGACAAGTCACATCCACACAAGACAGACAGCTTTTGTTTTTTCTGGTATTCAAACCAATAAACAGAGAGATCACACAGATTTCAGCAATCCAGAATTAGCGTTTTGAGTGACTAATGAATTTATATGATATGTTTATTTTACTGTTGAATTTTATTAATCTTCAGCCATTCATACCGTGCACACTTTCTGATTATAAGCTGCTTAGATTTCGATTAACAATTTCACTCTGACTGTGCCATTCTTTCCGGTGGGGAATGGTACAAAAGATGGGAATTAGTGGTAAAAAATCTTTGATTGAAGCTCCGCTGATAGCTCAGTTGATAATGGTACTGGCAAATGCGGGGCTGAGCCATATAGACTACAAGGATCCTAAGTTCAGCCCAGTTCTGAGCTCAGTTAGCTAGCTCAACTGGGACAATTGTGGTGCAGTAAGTTTCATAATAATAATCCTTGCATTTGATATAGTGTCTTATTACATCGTTAAGATGTCTCAAAGTGCTTCATAGGATATAATGTAAATGTGTATTTTGTGGGCGAAACATCATCTGATGGAATACACCTCTGGCAACGATGCAGCACTGCAGTGGAGTGAGTGTCAGCCTAGTGTTATAAGATTAAGCAAGACATGCATTGTACTCCAAAGATTCGCTATGCAAAGTGTGGGGCGTGTTAAGCTTTCGGTGAAGCCCTCAAATTAGGTGCAAAGATGAATTACGGCAAACTTTCCATATTTTACAACAAATAGAGAAATCAGAACCCAAGGTTCCTCCAGAGAACCACACAACACAAGTTTGCCTTTGACTAGCAGATTAACTAGATCGTGACATATAATTGTTTTGCCAAAATGTGATTGTTTTGATGTTTATTCCAGGTATTTACCACTGACAGGATTCCAGTTCAGCATGAAAACACTACCTACAGGCTTCACCCGCAGCCCAGCAGGATTGCCTCGGTCTCGGAGTTTGTACACAGCCAGGCTTAACCAGTTCTGAGCTGCACATTTTCTAATGCTCTGTAAATACCGGCATGTCGCAAGCCAATGTCTGTAAACTTTTGTGACATTCCTTGCCTTGGAATGTAACTCGATTTGCTCGCCTCCCCCCCCCCCCCCCCCCCTCCCCCCATGCATAGCAACAACATAATTTTGCAGGAGAAAGCAAGCTGAATTGAATTTCAGTATGGTTATGAATTGGCAAGTGTTTACAGGAATTTGGGGGAAGTTTTGTTGTCATTCAGAACTAGCTGTTTTAAGATCTGTAGTTTTTCTTTTTTTTTGCTGCTAATTTTTGCAATTGCTTGACTTATTTATTTGGTGCTCCATTCTAATTGTTTGAAATATATATATATATGTGTGTGGGGCTGACTTTCAGATCATTGGCAAATTTTGCCAAGTTGATTTTCCCCTTATAATAATAATATTCCTTGCATTTGATCCAGTTCCCAAGGTCAGAAGATTTATCGATCAACAGAGAATCAGATGCTCTTATCCACCAAGACGGGTAAATGTATCCAGGATAAAGAGAATCGCCTCCTCAATTTGAATCACTACTCAGTGAATTTGTCATGAAGTGAAGAGATCAGACCCTATTATTTATCTTATTTGAACAGTAATTTGTAAGAGTGGGAGCTGACAAGAAAAATACAGCTTGTTGACATCTTTGGCACTTTGACTTAATCAATTTAAATTCAATTATGCTGCAATTAATGTGAATCCAGCCAGGTTTAAGAGTTCAAGATTCGTTTTTTTTAAAAACTGGTTTCTGGTATTTTCAAAGCAAAATATAGCAGTCGTTCATCATTCTGTCTTTGCATGTTAATGATTTCTAGTTGGAATCTTAACTCATTCATTGCTGCAGGTTTATTGCTAGTAGCTTATTTTTCTTTTATTGCAGGACAAGCCAGACTGTTTTTGCTTGCAATGCAGTGTCTCTCAATGCAGTTTGTTTCAATTGAGACGCTTGGGTCTTTGAGCTGAAAGCATCTCAGGGATTCTTTCCACTTTGTGTTTGGTAGGATCATGGGTCACACCCTCTCTATCGCTGCCAGCACAAATCAAAACCAATAGGCAGTGAAACCCAGGCTTCATTGAACTGGTAGATTTGAGCATCAAATAGTTTTGCAACATAGGTCAAAGTTCTCCAAGGACAACATTATAATGGCATTCAGTGGTTACAAGTAAATGCTGTTTCATTATCATGAAATGAAAGAGTGTTTCTGCAAATGAATGATTTTGTTCCTTAAAATTAAAAAAAATTGTAAGAGCAAAGTAGTGTATGGACTTGTCGGAGGTGAACTGGTGTTTTTTTGCAAATCACAACATTATAATAATACAGAAGACATTCATTGATGCAAGCTGCCTTTCTAATAGAAAATCTAATGCCGTTATGAAGCACCTTGACATTTCAAATGATGTCTTTTCCTCCATTATGTCACAGACTGACGGTTTGAACAGTGGGTATGAATGCTATTTCACCGTCTCAAGACAAATACCATTTTTTAAGACGTGAATGGTATTTGTCCGTTGTGGAACAAAATGCCAATTATATTGATGAATGACTTAAAAGATATCCCTGCAGACTAGCCCATATAAAGTGTCTCTGACCATTGAAGTATATATGCCATAGAAAGTGCCATGCATTGCAGAGTGCCTCATCACATCTGTCAATTTCTCCCTTCAGCGAGCTGGCCAGGTTTCTTGGAACTCTGAACCATCGATCTGCTCCTTCCATCAATAATGGTAATTTCTTTGAAAATGTTGAGATCACTGATTGTTTTCCTCAGATGGGGAAGTAATAGTCCTAGCTATAGTGAAAAATGCCCTGCTTCATAGCAATAGTACACATTAAATGGGACATGAAGGTGATACAAGAAGACTAGACTTTCTACAGTAAATGAAGATATTTGTAGCTCTGAGCTTAGTCATCCATACAATTTACAGCTGTAACAGTTGACAGCTTGTCACTACTTATGATTCTTGTTGCAGAAGACAAGGACTTGACTGAGGCAGAACATCTGATTTGATTTGTTCTGAAGGGACATCTGCTCACCCAGCTCTATATGTGGCACAAAGTTTTCAGGTTCCTTATCCTTCAAACCACCCAGGCCGATTGTATGTGTGTGGTCACTGTACCATTCAATGCAACATACGCACCAAGGAACAGTGTGGAAAGCCAAAGTCAAATTCCAAAGACTGTTTTTCTTTTGTCAGCTTCTGTTGTTGAAAAAGACAATCAAATTGTAGGCATTTTAGACCAGTCGAAAAGCTTGAGGCATTTCAGGTACATTTCAATAAAATGTAATTTGATTAAGTATTGGTTCTACTAGATGAAAGTATCTTTATTTAGAAGCTTCTTAAGAATTGTAGAGTAATTTGGAAGGAAAAAAAAGTTTTATATTTAACATAGATTCATATATGTACGTTGAACAGATTAAATTTTCAATGAATTGAAGTTGAATCTAGCGTAGCTTTAGATACAGTGCCGTTAAGTTTTAAAAAAAAAAGTTCTTCTACATATTGCTACCCTTTCTATAGATTTAAAAACCCTAGGCGTGAGTGAGAATTCATGGAATTCAGAATATCCTTGTGTTTGCTGATGCACTCTGACTCTGTCCTTGCATGACATATTTCATCTTACCAGCAGGTGTCAGATTTTCTCTTTGTAACAGCCAGCAGTGTATGTTTGGTTCAGAGCTTATTTTTTATTAAGACATATAGTGCAGTATTCTGATACCTGATGCCCAAAACACCAAACATGGATGCACAAACGCCGGGCACAGTGTCTGCAAAGTTACCCGTGTGGATGGAGATGGATTGGGCAGCAGTGGAAACATTAACTAGTGCACAAGCTGTATAGAGTGCTCCCTTCTTTGTCAAAGAATAGAAATGTTTACAGTTCTTCATCGCGCGATGTTGTGGTCTAAGTAGATAGGATGTGTTTTAAATAAAGCTTTCACATTCTAATATAATTCAAAGTATTTAAATGTTCACACGCATCACTGAAAATTAAAACAATTTTTCGTGGATGCATAAAATGATTTTTGTTTTGCATTTTAATCTCCCGATGGTGTTTGTGACATGATGTAATATGTCTTTAAGTTTTGGCTTATCACAATAAAGGGCATTTTGACTTTAAATTGGGCTCCGTAAGCCCTAAACACTGAGTTATGTTCTGTTTTAGTGAAATAAACCAGCAACAATAAATAGTACTTCCCTGTAGTTCATGACCTGTGGCCTTGACTATAGACATTCTACAGTGCTTGCTAGCTCTGATTGGCATCAACGTCTCTGTTTTTTCTGATTATATACCTCGCAGGAAAATCTAGATTGTAAACCCTCTTTACATTTCCCACGAGAGCTTGAGCACACAGGAAGCTGTTAAACTGTCAAACAGTTAATGCCATTTTGAAATGGCTTTTCAGGTTAAGAATATTTCAGCTCCTAGAACTGTTGGAACAAAAAGTCAGCTCTTGCTAGCAGCTGCAGACGGTTTTCTCTATTACAACAGCAGCCTGCCATGATGTGATGAAAGCTGCCAGAACAGCTTCCATAAGGAACAAATGTCTGGGATCAGGTTCAGCACAGTTCTGAAACCACACTAAGAGCACAGCATAGAGGTTGCTAAAGTAGATGCCCAGGAGATTCCAGCAACATAAACCAATCTTTCTACATATTTAAAAACTGCTTTTAGTTGAGTAATACATGCTTGCTTTTTCTTTTTTAAAGAGAAATCCTTAATTGGCTTTCTAGTAAATTATATTACAAATGCCTTCCAGGCGTGTTAACAGTGAAACAATAACATCTAATTCTGTGCAGTCTTATAGCCTTTAACTAGAGATCAGTCAATATATTGTCCTAATTTTTAATGGTAATGAGCATCGGAATTACAAAATGATGCAGAATAATGCAGAGATTTTAACCTGAGCAAATTAATTCCTAGCTTCACATTTTTATTTGGGTAGCAGGGATGCTATCAGCCATGTTCTTACGTGGTGTAACTAATTCACATTCATTGTGAGTTTGCAGTACAATTGATTAAGAATAAACCATTCGGTGTAAAGTCCCCCCTCGCTTGACCTCTGAGTTCTTCAGGGCTGTGAAGCAGGAGGTTTGTATCAAGTGGTTTATACTACCTTAATGCAGATCTCCTATCATTTTCAGTTTGAAAACAAAACTCGAGGTTTGCTTTGAGCAGGCAGTTTAATCCTCCAGGCACATGAACCAACTCCAGGGCAGCCCTCTGTTTAAACCCCGGGGGAACTTGCTTTCGGTTCAGGTCATCCTGATCTAAACTCAATGCAATGTCTAGGAGCGTAAAATTATACATGTCCTAAACCATGTCTCCTCATTCACTATCTAGACGGCTATTTAACATGGTTAAGGATATATATGCTTTTCAAACATCAAGCATAAAAATGATTACTCCATCATTCTACCAACATCAGAAAAATACCATTAAACACAATAGGATACAGGGCCTTTTTTAAACTGAAGAGGCGTGAGAAACTGGACATTACTTTGCTCTTCACCTGACCAATTTGAATAATTAGTGGGCCGTTGAAGTACTTGTGCTTCTGCAGCACCATGCAAAGCCTCGGTTCTTATAAATAATTGCTTTTTGGGGCTGCTAAATGGACCAGTCAAGAGCTTTGTGCTCTGCTTCATGGCAACATGAAATGCACTGGCCATTTAGAGCGCTTAAAAATAATTAGAGCAGTTATGAAGCCACTCTAATATGGATTGATAGATAATCAAAATGCACAATTGGGTTTAAAGATAACAAATGTAACACTAGATTAACAGGCAAAAGGTACACCAATGTAGGCTGCTGGTGGCCTTTTGTACTGTGCTGGAAATTGGAACATTTTAGAACCATTGTATAATGTACTTTGTTTCAGAGCATCCTCTTGGTATTGTTTCCAATGCAGTTATTTTGATAAAGGTGATTCGGACAAATTAATGGAAATGTATTGTGTGAATCAAAAATGAAAAGCACTTCTGTTCAAAGTATTTTGTTTGTAAGTTTTCGGAAATCTTGATGCTTGACTGTGGAGTGAAAAACATCTTTAAGGAATAGACACAATGTTTGATTTCTGCCAATAATATATTCCTCATTTGCCTGTGCAAATTGATCAAAATTTGTTGGATCCATCTTCAGGAAGGGTTAATGGATTTGAGTCCCTTATCCGCCATGTCAAATGCCTTTGTTTGTGCAATTGTTCTGTAAAATCATTGTAATATTTCCAATTTTCTCCTTTTGTTTATTGCCCCGGAAGTCTAATGCTGGGTGATGGTTCCTGTGGTTGAAGTCGCTTTCTTAAACTTGTTCAAAGGCACACTTTTTGGATATGAGGCTTGCTAGCAAATGTTGCCAGGCTCTTTGACCTTGGAGTAGAACGGCGGAGGCATTTTTGTTGGATAGCGATCAGGACAGAAACCCCATCTAACGTACCCTCTTATTCCATGGATGTAGAGTTCAATTGTTGCACACCTAACTACCAGCCCCATTAACACAGCACAAACTAGGGATCAAAGCTGGACACTGTATAGTTATAGTGTAGTCTGTATAGTTCAGTGCTGCACTTTGCATTGTTAATATTTCAACTACATGAAAATAATTCATATGGATCTCTTGTAGTTAATGTTCATAAATGATACCTGAACCTTTTTAAATATCAATGGGAACAAAAATCTTGTTAGGCCTAGAAAAAGCTAAACTAGATATGCTATTTAAAAATATTATTTAAATTGTATACTTCAGCTTGAATTGAGTGTGGCAAAATTCAACACATTACTAGTGCTACATGGACAGTTGTGTTTTGCAGTCCGCCGTATACACCAATGGATTTTAATGTATGCTATAAAGCCCATTTTTAAAAAAAAATCAGTTCAGCTTTAGGCTATGAAAGTAATCCTTGGCTGAATTCATGAGCATTGTGATGCTTTTTGCTGCACTTAGCAACTTACAAATGGTTGTACAGTGTAAAATGACTGTATATTGAGCAAGGCTGTGCTCTCATTTCCTGTTCCTTAATCTCCGCCAAACAAGGAGGAACAGTGTGTACAAACGGAGAAATATATTTTACAAATGGTATGAAACATGGCTTTTGCTGCTTACTGGCATGTACAGCCCATAGAGAAAGCAAACCGACTGGCACGCACTGGCATGACTTCGACTGCCGCTCAAATTATGCAGCCACTTCGGACTTGTATTCTGTACAGAAACTAGGCTAAGTGTAGAAACTGCATTTACAATGCAATTAGCCTGTAACTTGTGAATTCTAAGTTAATGTTCTGAATGTACTTTTGTGAAGAATAGTGAATGCCACTAATGTAATGCATTATATAATAAAACTGACTATTTTAGTCCTTTATATGTGCTTTGGTACATTTCTTCCTTTTTTAATATTATCATTTGGATTTTTAGTTAGCAGCTGATGCAATTCTTTTGACATTTCAGACAGTCTTTAAAAGTGCTAAAAGGAGGTATGTTCAAGTTGTAATGGAATCCTCTGTGAAATTCTCCTGGGCCAATTCAACAGGTAGTCACGGAACCTACTCCAGTGGTTTGTTATAATGATGTGGTAGAACCGATTCTAAGACACTATTTGGATTACATCTTTAAACTCTTCAAAAATATTATTATAGCATCAGAAATATAAGAAAGCATAGATTTTTTAAAAAGCTCCATTAAACTCATCAGTCCAACTCCATCACAGACCACGTACAATGTGCCCTGTCATGGTTTGTAGACGACCTATTTAATCTCCAGAAGGAAAGTGTTGCATAAATACTCCCTGATCCCCAAAGGTAATCAAATGAAACTCTAGAATATTTATCCAGCTCCACAACTCCACCATTCAACCTTGACCAGCTGCCCTGTGCAGATGACACCTACCCCTCCAGCCCCAGTAGCATAGAAAACATCATGTGATGTATTAAACAGAACTCGAACGTCAAGCCTTGTGGACAGAGGAGTTCGATAATCCCTCAACAGAATGAGATAGGATAATGCTAATGCCAGAGACTTGAGAAAGAACATGAGTAGCTGTTATCAAGGAAGAGATACTCCACACAACAATGCAATATTTCCCATGGTGAAACCTTTGAGCAAACACCTGCTGGCGGAAAAATGTGTAATATGGAAAAACTTTTCCTACTGTAAAAACCGTGAATAGGAAAGAGAACAATGGAGTGCATTCATCAAGTGTCCAGCATAACCGGATTTTAGTATAATAGTCCTTTGGGGGCAAATTTTCTCTTTCCTTTGCCTTCTCAGTGTGACTTTATGAACTATTGATACTGAAATGTACATGGTTAACAATTATTGTACTTTACCCTAATGTGTAACAGTCAAACCTCTCACTCCTGCCATGTTGTCAAAGCCCTAAATTGGCTTGAGGCAGTTCTGTGCTACAGAATGATGCAACCCCTTAACTGAAGGGGGCACATAAACATGTTGTCTCCTTTGGCTTAATCCTCATGTTTTGAGAGTCTCTTCAACGCTTGACAGTCAGACACTAAGCTTACAATCGCAGAATGTGAGCTGTAGAACTGGAACCATTTAATTGGAGGGTGTTTTTATTTCCAGCCGAGGTGGTGGAACATATGTTTACGTCTCCTGAACAGTGGAATCGTGAACAACAACTTGAACTTTTTGTTTGTTGTTCTAATCATTTAACTAATCTGCACACTGCGCCTGGGTCTCAGACGATTCCAGCAAACCGCAGGTTAATGGAATCAGTTTTAGATGAATCAACGTGGCTATGGTAGGCATCATCATACAAATATAGAGGTACTAGGCTGCCAGCCTTATGGAGTATTTAGCTGGATGTATTCTGATTTGGGCAACATTCAATCCCAAAGCATTAGCAGGGAACAAAGCCTGAAAATGCAATGAAAGTCAAATGCAATGACTTCCTGAAATTGGAAGACATGTTATTCTCTGCAGACACAAGCTCCACTTTTAATACACTCAGTAAGGTTCAACTCAGTATTCACTTAGTTGTGCTTAACAGTTTCCAGTTACCTCAGACTGCACCATAACTCAAGATTGTTTGCACCTGTGCACGACTCGTACTCAAAAGCTGTGCTATTTAGAGAGGTGTTTTTTAGTGGAGAACCCATACTGAAAACATATGCGGTTCCTGGAAATGAATGCCAAGAGCCGTCCAGTCTTTAGAAAGTTAATAAGAGTGGAACACATGAAACGTATCCAGCCGAGAGGAGACAAACACATCACACGTATGATTGCATTCTGACTTGTCCTCTGGTAGCCTCCAAACCTGGGATTAGTCAGGTATGAAGTGAGCATTATCTGCCTCACCTGGCTATGCAATTCTGGCAGAAGCAGAGGTTTGGAGGTATTTCTGGGACATGTTGACAGATGCAGCCCTACTATCTAATCCTCTACTTCAGGCTTTATAGGCTTCAAAGCCTCTTTCCTAATGGACATGGTAAACAGGCTCTATTGTGGACATTGCAAATGCGTCTCTTGTTTGCTGATATCCATGTGTGTTTCTTCCTTTTTTCTAACCACCTAGTACAGATCTCCTGCTTTGTGGCTGTTTCAAATGATGAATAAGAAAATGTCTGTATAAAGGGAGCAGCATTTTATGTTGCACGCAATGGCCTGAATGCAATCTTTCTCGTCATTGGTGTAATTTCAGTGTGGCACCAAGTAACTATTCACCTAGTCGAGTGGATATTCTCCCATCTTAAGCTACAAAACGTGAAATCCAGTTGTTTAATATACTGTGTATTCAAACACTTGTATTCAGAAACACTCTGGTACAATGATCTGTTATCCCTCTGGGAACAGGAAATTCAAAAAACAGTTTACAGAATTGTATGATTTTCTTTTTGTGGAATAGCAATGGTCTTACAGAAGCCACTTTTCAGCTGTATAAAAAACGGCGCAGAGAGCCTTTTGTGCCAATTTCAATAAATTGAAATGCCAGTTTCTGTCTGATATGTTTCAGCTCATATGCGTTCTCTCCCTTTAAAATGCAGCACAGGACAAGTTAATAGCACCCTCAACTAAACCAACATATTGAATTCTTAGCAATATTCGTACTGGAGGAAAAACTGGTTTATGTCAGTTTTTTTTTGCAGCAAAAATAAAGTTTGCTTCCGTTACAAGCCCATCAGGGAAGCCTCGGATTTTCACATTCTGAATGCCAGAAACCCTATTTAATAGCATGTTGATAACTGGCAGAATAACTGAGCAGGAAAAAAATCAGAGGTCCAAAATTATAGCTAGTCTTAACCTCTATAGCCATTTGTATTAAAATTTAAGATTGTGCAGATTTGTAGAAAAGTCTTCAATCCAGTCTTGAAAGCTATGCGATTATAAATATCGATAATGATGTATATAGGAATGCGATCAAGCTATTTCCCCTCTAGACTAGAGTAACTTTATTAGTAAAGCCCAAATAAACTACACAATTTTCTGTACCTTAGTAGTGTGGACTTTTATCTACAGTGATAGCCTACCATACATAAATCATAAAAAATACTGATGGGATTTCCCATTATAAACTCATAAATGTCTCAACCAAATTTACTCTGAAATCCTAATTAATTGGTTGCTCTTTTCATTGCTGTTTATGGGACAATGCTTGCATGGATTAGCTGCTGGGTTTGCCTGTAGAATACATTCCCTTCATTTCTAATCAATCACTGTTGAGAAGCTCTTCAACACATTTAGGTTTACATGGAAATGTTATATAAATGCAAGTTATTATTAAAATGAAAAGAAAGCTATTGATAGTGCTCAGTGTTGAGTGAAATCTAACCTTTCACCAACACTGATTGCAAAAGAGAGTTTCAGCATCATGTATTTGAAACACTGACTCCCCACCCCCTTTTCCACATGAATATGATGAAACTCATTCAAAAAAAGTACTTGTTATTTTGATCTATTACTGTATGTTCCCCTGTTCAGATCCATATGGAAAAATGGTACAGTGGATTCAAGTTACTGCCAATTTATGTTGGACTGTCAAAAAGAATAAATAAACAATATCGGGGTTTAGCATGTGATATTCAATACAGGATGGGATTGCGATATTCATGAATTGAATCAATGGTGTCTTGCTATCCAGCCTTTATCCTAAATTGCTGTCTTTTTTTGATGCATGATTAACATCTTGTGACATTTGCGAATTAGACGGTATTTATGAATTCCTCAGATTAGGCCACAGTGGAAAGCAGCGACTGGTTGCTTAAGTGTATAGAGACAAACATTGCTGGAGTTAGTGGCAGGAAGCATATTGCTTCCCATGCCCTGAGAAATGGATTTCTAATGAATTTGTATTTGCGGCCCTCTGAAATATAAACCATAAAAACTGGTAAACATAATGACACGGAATTCAGGCATTATGATGATATAAAGCGTTTTGCCCCTATAGAGCAAATATTACAATAATAGCTTTGATACGATGTAGTTTTCGGTTGAGAAACATTCAAAGTGAAGCATGCCCCGATAAAATCACCACTAAATAAGTTATCTAGTTTCTGCAGTGACAGCTATGGCCATGTTGAAGGGAATTTGATTACATTGGCCATTCAGAGGAAACTGTGAGCACTTGCTACCGAACGATGTGCCAAAAATGATAATAAAATGTACAGGTCCAATGAAGAGTGTGTCCAAAAGGTGGAAATTGCCCGTTAGGCTTTGTTTTAAAACATGGGTGATTATCAATACCAAATAATTGAGAAGTTCAGAATATAAAAATACACAATTTATAAAATAGACTGTTATAATTTAATAATAATCCTTGCATTTGATATAGTGCCTTAACACGTATTCGAGACGTCTCAAAGCGCTTCACAGAATATATTGTAAAGTAAATTGACTATATTTTGTTGGCAAAACCTGGCAGTCAATTGCGCACAGCAGTGTCCCACAAACAGCCCTGGATTGAGTGACACCTGGGTTCCTACTTGCTACTAGGAAAACAGAAACTTGTGGAGAAAGAAAACTTTTGTAACGTCCGGTAGTCGAACCCAGATGCTCTCGCTTGCGAGGCGAGTGCTCTAACCACTAAACTGCAGGCCTCCACTAGTTGGTTGGAGCAATATCTTCTATAGTTTCCGACAATCCAGTCTTTTAAAATCAAAATAGTCTATCCCATGTCTTCACAAAACAATGAGAAACATGATATTTTAGTAACTGGTGTAAGGACTATGCTTTCTTCATGTCTTTCACTACCCATACGGTGGCAGCCCTCTTCTAGGGGCAAATTGTTCTACATAATAGCTACGTTCTGTGTATTGTTGTCAAATCTAAATTTTCTATAAACTCTCACCCTTCTCAGTTTGAGAGATTATGTCTTTGTTTGGCCCATGAGGGACTAAGATGAGCTCTCTT